TCTGCATGATTTCAATTGTAAGGACATATAACTCAAGGCCAAGTTTCAGCATGTTTTGGTGGTAACAAATCCTAATGGTAATAATTGGAATTAGTCCATTGTTTTTGCTGTCTGAAGTCAGTTTATATGCCAAATCAGTGTCGACTTCAGTACTGCCACTTGTCCCTGATGTATTTCACCCAGTAGTGGTATTAAGTAGGGACAAATCCACTCAAGTCAGTAATTTCACTGCTAGAATGCCAATGTGAGACCATAATCAGTGTTTAGATGTGTAAATTGCACATGATTCTACTTCATCCTTGAATTTGTCTTTCCCTGCCTTTCTCTTAATGTAACAGAGCTTTAGTGATGGCTATGACCATCTAAAAAAGTATTTAATTACAAGAATTTTTAAAGCCCCTTGAGATCTTACAAGAGAATCATAGAATGACTTGGGTTGGAAGGGACCTAAAAAATCATCTAGTTCCAACCTCCCTTCCGTGGCAGGGTTGTCAGCCACTAAATCAGAGATTAGCTTAGGCTGCCCAGGGCCCCTCCCAACCTGGCCTTGAACATCTCCAGGAATGAGGCATCCACAGCCTCTCTGGGCATTCTGTTACAGCACCTCACAACCCATTCAGTGAAGCACTTCTTCCTGACATCTCATCTAAATCTCCTGTATTTTAATTCAATGCCATTCCCCCTTGTCCTATCCATATTTACCCATGTAAAAAGTTGATTTCCCTCCTATATATAATCTCAGTTTAAATACAGGAAGGCTGCAGTGAGGTCTCCCTGGAGCTTCCTCTTCTCCAGGCTGACCAAGCCCAGTTCCCACAGTGTGTACAATACCACAGCATCAGCAGGGACCTCCCAAGGTCATCTGGTCCGACCGCTACTCAGGCAGGTTCAGCTAAGGAAGGTTATCCAGCACCATGTGCAGTTGGATTTTGAGTCTCTCCAAGGTCAGAGAAGCTCCATAACCTCTTGGGGCAAACTATCCCAGTGTTCCATCACCCTCACAGTAATACAAGTGGGGGCTTTTTTAATGTTCAAATGGAATTTTCTGTGTTTCAGCTTATGCTCATTTTCTCTCATACTGGTTCTGATCTCATAAGGCTGGATGTTGTGTTGAGGGACATGGTTTAGTGGGAGCTATTGGTGATAGGTGAACGGTTGGACTGGATGATCTTTTAGGTCTTTTCCAACCTTGGTGATTCTATGATTCTATGATACTGCCAGTTGGCACCACTGAAGGGAGGATGGTTCTGTATATGGAGCTCTACAGCTCCAACAGAATCTGTCTCCAATGCTGGGAGATGGCTGAAAATTTCCATGGAAATAATCTGATTTTCTTTTGCAGTATGTGGGTGTTAGATGTGATTTACAGAAGTATCAGTTCACAGTGGATAGTATACAAGATAGTATGCAGACTTTTTTTCAAAACAATACAGCCCTTTAGTACACCAAACTGGACCAGTTCACGGCCATACATGCTCCACGTGCATGCAATGCTTCATACTCTTTTAATTTGTATTACACTCCCTTGGACAACTAGGGCAGCTCCTATTTCCAGCACTCTGCCAGGTAGTCTGAGTACAATTTAGGCATCAGACTGTTTCTAGTATATAGTATGAGTAAAACCCCTGGGGCATCTGAACAGATGTTACAGTTGCATTCTTGCAAAGTACAAAGAATGGGCTTGGTTCATTTTATTTGTCAGCATATACAGGCTCTAAATTCATAAGCCAAGGAAGGCCAGAGTCTCATTAATTATTGATTGTTATGACTACTTATAATTAGCATTTTAAACCTGCTGAAATCAAAAGGTATGGATAGTGACACTTCCTCACATAAGAAACCTGTACCCTAAATGAAAAGCTGACCTACTGAACTCAGTGTAGGCCTGGAGCTCAGATACTGATTAGTAGGATAACTTAAGATCTTTGAATTTAATGAAAATATCTCTGGCATGACTCTCTCCCCTTTAGAACAAGTGATCATCATGCACACGGCTGAAGTCAGCTTGGAACAGCTATGTAGGTCAGGGGTGTCAGCTCCACTCATTCCATTTCTGGTGACTATCAAGGCCAGCAAAAGGCACAGTGTAGATGCTGCAGCACCAGTGATATTTCAGAAGAACTCCCTTATCTCCACAGCCAAAAGAAATCTGCTTGCATTTGCAGGGTTTGTTGAGTTAGGTCTCTTGATCTAGCTATTGGCAAATGCTTTTCAAAGTTGACAGAGTCAAAATTCAAACAGAAACAGAAAAAGTATTTTAATTTCTTGAAAGAAAACAAGGTTCTTTCCCAAAAGTACTGCTTTTCCTTAACAGTGAAACAGCTTTGTCCCATACCCTGCAGCTTGCTGCTCTTTCCAGATGTGCAGTTTTACTGTGAAGTCGTGACACACAGTTTGTGGGAGCACTTAAACACTTGTGGGAGCAACACTTACTCTACTGCTCACTACACCCCTTAAACACACAATTAACTCTGTTACAAGCTGTCTGTACAGAGCTGTATGAGGCCATAGAGTTTACTGGGAACCATAGCACAAAAGTCAGCAAGTACTTCAGCTGTCAGCCGTGTACCTGCTGTGACCATCAGGCTATTTGTTTCTGTTGATAAACAACGACAATCTCACTAAACATCCACCCTGGAGGTGTGTCTGGTGCTCAGAACTTATCACTGACTGGCTTCTTTAGTACCAAGGAGCTGGTGGTGTTGTTCTTATTTAAATTAGAAGAAAACTGAGTACAGGATGTTTTCAATGCCATATACAATTAACCTGGTAAGTGAGCAACCTTCTGCTGGACTTTGTGTCGTTGATCACAACCCTCTGAAGTTCAGTCAATCAGTGTTCAGTCCACTTCACTGTCCTTTTACCTAGTCCACACTTCAACAGCTTATCTATGAAGATGTTTAGGGAGTCTGTCAAAAGCCTTGCTAAAGTCAAAACAAATAACATCCATTGCTCACATTGCTCACTCCATCTACCAAACTAGAAGTTAGCCGAGCATGATTTTGCCTTGGTAAATTCATGATGACAACTTCCAGTCAGCTTCTTGTCTTTCTTGTGTTAGGAAATATTTTCCAAGATAATTTGCTCCATCGCATTTCCAGGCGCTGAGGTGAGGATGACTGGTCTGCAGTTCTCCACACTCTCCTGCTTGCTCTTCCTGAAGATAGGAATGCCATCTGCTTTTTCCACTCCTCAGGAATCTGCCTTCAAAGATAATGGAGGTGGTCTCAATGGCCAGCACCCGTACACATGTACAATTTGTTTAAATATTCCCTAAATTGATGCTGAGCAGCACAGCATCAGGCATGGATTTTCTGGGGTTTGCAGGTATTGCTGATAGCCTCCCACTAGGCACGACAGTGCTGACCTTCTGCATGCACAGTGCATCTCAAGGGCTCCTTTCTTGCTACTCAGCATCCCATCCATTCCATGATGGGCAAAGAGAAGATACAGTGCCAGGCAGGGACAGAAAGCATTTGTGCTTTCTCCATTCTCAGTTTCTCCACCATAGGCTTGCCACTTCCACAGGACCCATTCTCACCACTACTCACTGCTTCTGAACAAAATGTTAATTTATTATTGAGTGGTAAATGGTGGGAGATGTGTCCTTTACATATCTAAAGGACAAACTTTAGTAGCTCTGTTATACTGAAGCCTGTGGAGAATTCACCAAGCAAACAGTCCTTGTTGTGCAGATGAGACCGATTGTAATGGCCTTATTTCACCTGAACACTTATGTGGGAAGAGCCTCAGTGACAAAATTCTCATGGAATATCTTCTGGAGTTTGAAGCTTCAAGGCTTACTGGAAACCAGATTCAAGTCTTCTTCACTGGGACATTCGAAACAGAAAGCACTCAAACACCTGTTTGCTGCATAAAGCCTGGGCATCACACCCAGTCATACTAAATTACCCAGGACAGCAGGGCAAAGAGGTTGTAAAGAGCTTTGCTGGAGGGTGTTGACTGGATGAGTGCAATTTGTAGATAAAAAAGAGAACACTGCCTCATCCTGCAGGGTGTGCAATGAAGGGAAACCAGCAATGACCCTCTCCTACTTCGCTTTCCAGTCACTGGAAACACTCGTGCTTTGCAAAGAAGTCTTAATGACCTTTGTAATTAAATAGACTTTAAGCTCAAAGATCCCACGGTACCTCACGGTACCTTTGTATCAATCCCTCTGCCAGTACACGGAGTCTGGACCCAGCACACTTAATTCTGTAGCTATTACTAAAATAAATGCCTGTGCTGAGGCAGCTGCAGGTGGCTGGCTGGCAGCTTGACTGCTCTCCTGTGACCAGCCAGCTGCAAAAGTCTCACTTCTAATGCCGAACAGTGCTTTGCTCAGCTGTCACATTTGGAACCAGTTGGGAGGGTGCAGGGGGTAAGGGGTCCCGAGAGCTGGGCCACGCTCTGAGGCGCCATTGCCAGCGGATGACAAGCAGGGACTGGGGCACAAGCGCTTGAGGAAGCACCCTGCAAGCCCTGACTTCCATCAACAACTTGCCGGGCAATGGCCGGCCCTCTACGAGCCTGCAAAGTTTGGGGCGGGAAGCGGCGCTCAGCCCTCAGGGCCGGGCCGCGCGAGGAGGTGGCGGTTGGTCGGCGGCCATTGGCCCGCAGCCGTCAGCCCGCCGGCACGGTGAGGGCAGCGGCAGGGGAGTCCCCAGGGCGGCGGGCTTCCCCACCGGCGCGGGCAGCGCCAGGGCCGCTCGGTCACACGGAGGCGCCATTTCCTCTGCCCTTCCTTTGCCCTTAAGCCGCCGTGCCAGCGGCCGTGCCCGCGCCTCGTCCCGCACCGGCGGTCTGCGGGCGGGAGCCGCGTCCCCGGCCGTCTCCCCCCGCTACACAAGGAAACAAGGAGGGGGAAGAAGGGGCAGCAGGCTGCGCGGCTGACACCGGCCCGCTCCTAATAAAGCGATGGGGCCCGGCAGCTGCGTCGCGCTCCCCGCGCCCTATAAATAGGCTCCGTGCGCGGCCCGCGGGCTTTGGCCGCCCCGGCTCGGCAGGCGGCGCGGCGCAGAGGAGCGGAGCGCAGCGGGGCCGCCGCTGCCGCCAGGAGATCCCAGCAAGATGCCCCGGGTAGACGCAGACCTCAAGCTGGACTTTAAAGATGTCCTGCTCAGACCCAAACGAAGCAGCCTCAAAAGCAGATCCGAGGTGGGGGCACTCAGCATGCTTTCCCCGCTCAGCCCCTAAGTTCCCCAGCCCTCCGCCCTCCTTCCTTCCCCGCTTTATTTTTATCCCCCGCTCTAACGTAGTCGTGCCCTTCTCGATCGAAACGCCCTTTGCGAGGGGGGTGGGTGGATGCGGCGCTGCTTTTGGGAGCGGGGGGGTGTGGGTGGAGGGACCGAGGTTCTGCCCTGCTCCTCGGCGGAAAAAAAAAAAGGGAAAATAAAAGGGTCGGGGGGCTGCCTGCTGCCGACAGGTGCCGCTGCGGAGAGCGGGGGGAGCCGCGCTGTGTGCCGGCTGTGCGCCCCGCAGCCGGGGTGCGTTTGCGTCCTCCGCCTCCGGGCCCGTTGGGCAGCGATCCGCCGCTGACACATGTACTGAAAGCGAAAAGGCAGCCGTGGCTCAGCCTGCCCCGGGCTGCGAGCATGTCAGGTGGCAACGGGAGCGGTGGGCTCCGTTTCTCCTGCGGCCATTGTAACCCCTCCCGTGGCCTGCTTTGCGCCTCCGCTTCCCTTTTGGGCTCGGGGCTGCCCTTAGCGGGGAGATCCCCGCTGCTATCCCTCATCAGGGATCAGGGGAGACCCCAGGAAATCCTGTGGGGATTGCCTCCACGGAAAAGATGGCTGCCTCCAGAGCGAAGGTGCCTTCTGGTTCACCTCGCGTAACCCCGAGGCTGAGAAAGGATTTACTTTGACTGATGAAGGTTTTACTCTGTGCTGGGGGATGGAAGGAGGATTAAGCTTTTCTCCAGGGGAAGCAGAGTTGTGAGAGACTGAGATCAAGGGAATGGGGTAGAAAGAGAAGCCTGGAAAGGGCAGCAGGCGTGGTTGTGTCTGTTAGGGGCGTGTGGATGGAGCTGGGGGCCAGCAGCTGAGCTGGAACGTTCTTGTCACTGTGCAGGTCTAAGATTAGAGGGACCTTCTCAGTAGAAGGGTCACTTCAGGTTAGTCTTTCCTAAATTGCATGGAGTAATGTCCAGGCTGTGTGACTCGTGGTGCATAGCTGCTGCTTACAGGATCCGCAGTCTCTTCGCACAGCTTTTAGGCCCCTTCTGGCCCTTTGCTTTCAGCACTCACGGTCCCTCTCTAAAAGTCACTGTGCCAGCCTGGCAAACAGGTGGAGCTGTGCTCCAGCGAGTGGCACACTGCTCCTTCAGAGTGCTGCTGGATGTATATTTAGCAGTGTGCAGGCTGTGGATAGAAGGGTTGCTGGGAAGGGAAAATGATAGGGGGAACATGAGCTGATATGGCAGGGTTGTAGCGGGTGGCTATGATGAACTGTTAAAAGCATTTCAGATGAGAAAAAGTGTGTGTCATGTGGGGGGAGGGAGTGGGTCAGTGGAAACTGATGAAGGTTAAGAAATTGGACACCATCACTGAGGCTGTAGCTGTAGGAATAAAGTGTCTGTGAGAGCCAGATCTGAAATGGACAGCCACAGTCTGCCTCAAAACAGGAGTATAAATAAATAGTGCTGGCAGCGGAACAGAGGTTGCATACTACAGTGCCTCTTACCCAGCAAGCTGCTGCTTTGAAGCTTTTATCAGCAAGGGTTTTGTTTTTTTGGTGTGAATGCCTTAATTTGCACAAGGCTAGCTTTCTGTGCAGTCAGCTCCTTACCCAATTTGGGCAGTTTGCAGCTCTTCTTGAGGGTCTGCTATTCTGATACTTGGTTTTGATTCCATGTGCTGCCTTCAATTTGAAAAGATACCAAAAGTTTGAATTCAAACTCAGGGTAAAATTGTTGACAGCAAGGACTGGAGTCAGAGACTGTAGGAATACAGCATTGTCTGTCAGTGGCTCCTTGGCGCTCCCATAACCTGTTACTCTTGCCTTTGCTGGATTTAGCCTCTGCAGAATGTCCCATGTAAGTGCACTGGACTTGTAGCCCTTTAATTTTGAATTTGTAAATTTAAATAAGTCCTGGGAGCTTTAACAGAACAGCCAAAGCTCCCGTATTTTCACATGCCTAAGGTCTAGGTAGGACTTTTAAAAAAAATAAAATATCCATTTAATGATCTATTTCTTTTTTCCTGAAGGAACATTTACTGTTGCTGAAAGATGGTGAGCAGTCCTTGAATCTGAACTTATTTTTTCTTATGCACAGAACAATAAGCTATAAATTAGCTTATTTCCACTCAGCAAATAGATCTGGGAGTTGTAGACCTCTGAAAGCATCAGCTCGGCAGCATTCAGTAAGACAAGGAGGTCAGAAGAGTTAGTAGGGGAACCTGATATGCTCATCTTGCATACGCAAGAATGTTCTTCACAAGACTAGTGTATCATGCCAGAGCAGCTATAGAAAATAGCAGCAAGGGTATCAGTGGTAATGCTTGCTTTCCAGATGAGGAAACAAAAAGAAACCCTAGGACTATCCAGTATGGAGAAGCAGCAACTGTGGTGGATATGCTAGAACTCCAAGAAGCGAGGAGTGAAATAAAAAAGGTGAAACTGATAAGTGGTTGCTGGTTGTCTCTTGCAAAAGAAGATGCAGGAAGCACTGAATGTAGTTAGGAGGTAAAGGTCATGCTTTTTATGTAGTGAATAAATAAGCTTTGGAATTTATTGCTGTGGAATACCATAGAGACTAAAGATGTGAATGTTTTCAATAGAAGTACAGGGCAAGTTTTTTGTCCATGAGTGGCTATCTAGCTCAGGAGATCGGGGAGGTTTTTGTCTTCAGAGGTCTCTAAACACTGTCTTCTTGGGACCTGGGAAGGTAGGCTAAGGAAGGAGGGAATATTTAAACTTGCCTTGACTTTGATGCTTCCTTCCCAAACATTTGGTATTGGCTCTTTGGGGAACTAGAGCACCACATACAGCCCCCTGTAGCATTTCTCCTTTTCTTGTACTACAGAGGTCTCATTAATGGAGGCCCTGCAGTTATCCTACACAAATGCTGTTGTTACAGTATTATCAGCTGAGTGGATAATTGCGTGAGGTCCTTCTAACTGGTTGGCTAAAGGAAATCATGTATTAAAAGCTACAGTAGATGAAAGTGAGAATTGTTGACGTTAATGGCCTCGTGTTTCCCGTGTAGCTTTGCATCTTGCCTCAGACTTTTCTTAAGTTTACTCATCTTAAGTTCATTTGAAGGATACTTTTCCTCTGTACTCGTGTAAGGTTGTAGGTCTGGTACCCTTGTCTCTATAGGACTAGTTATGTGATGCTCTTTTTTTTTCTTTGTCCTTGTTACTAGTTACTAATTGCATAAAAAGTGAATGAAATACATTAAATGTCTTCCTTGTACTATTTCCCCTTGTTAGCTGCAGCAGGAATTGGTAGAAGAATGTTATGTCAGCAGAGATGGGTGGAGAACCAGGCCTCTCTGATAGTGAATGGGAAGAAGGGCGAGTCTCAGTTAAAATATATCTTAGATTGTCCTCTACAGTGACCCTTCACTTAGGAGCTTCAGCAAAATGAGAACCTGATCCATGATGTGTCAGTGAGACACAAAGTTGCTTCTCTTAAACCAGTGATGAAAAAATTATACACCACTGTATTAATCAGTCAGAATGTAGCCAGAGCTCAGAACACACTGACTATATGACCAATAGTACTGTGTTTTTTATATTGCCTGTTTACTGGTTCTGAACTTCAGGCAGGTCACTGGCTGTTCCTGGATTAAGGAAGTGAGGAATAATGAAAACTATGAAAAAGCCTTCATTTTTCACACTGTCATTTCAAAAACTAAACTAAGTATCTTACTGTTGAGCATGTCTTAGATGTCTTTTCCATTTTGCAAGATGCTAAGCAGACCGGTGGGAGCTAATCAAATTTCTGTATTCCTCTTGTATTAGAACAAAATAACTGATGTTGCTGCAATCATTTGAGAATGCTGAGAAGAATTAACTTTGAAGGCAAAGGCTGACATAGTTGTAAGAAATTAACTTAGAAATTAGCTTGCCTTATGGTTTAATAAACAAAGGTATGATTGTTCATACTGCATAGCCAAGAGTAGCTGGCAGCCATAGCAAAGAGTGAACTTGGTTTTGAATTATTATGTTGTCACTTATTTAAAGAACGGGACAAAGCTATCTATGCCCTGGAGTCAGAGGAAATTCCAGCTCTTACTTCTGTGGAGTTAGGATTTCAGCTCTGGTTTCTCAGTCAGCCACACAAACAGCTGAAGTTACTTCTGTATAAAATCACCCACAGTTGTCGCTGTGTTTTCTTTCCCTGTCTGTCTCTTCCAAACACATCCGCATTATGCTTGTTGTTGTTCTTTTAAATATCAACCCTCTTTTTCTTCCACAAGAGCTCTCTAACACAAAAAACAGTACTTTATATTTTCTTTGTCATTTGGAAAGCAGAGGTTATAACTCATAAATGAATTTAAGCGAGGCAATAGTTGAATGAAAGGAGGAAGATCAGAGAATTTGAGGAAAATTAAGAAGCATTGTTCAAACTTGCTGTCAGTGAAAGGGTCACAAAATTCATTAGGATTCAATGAGTTACTGAAAAGAAGGTGTGCTTGTTTGTTGCAGGTTGACCTCACGCGCACTTTCACCTTCCGCAACTCCAAGCAGACGTACACGGGAATTCCCATTATAGTGGCAAACATGGACACTGTGGGGACGTTTGAAATGGCTGTGGTTATGGCTAAAGTAAGTCTTGGTTAATTTATAGAAATTAATGGTTGGGAACTCAGTGAGTAAGGGTAAACAGCCCTTGTTAATTTTGAGCTATGAGTGAGAATGGGGCCCAGGCCCATTAGCATTAAAGGTGTGGTCTTGCTTCAAAGCAGTTTTCTACATTTCTGCAGCAGCACCGTTGCCTGGAGAGAGACCCACATTAAGAGTGTTAGTGGGAATGATTACTGGATGTAGCTCAGCTTCAGGTGGGGGACTTGTAGAGCTTAGTTTTTGGTGTGTATATATGTTCCATTGCAGGAAAAAAGCTAAAAAAGGCTTTGAAAGTGTGGGCTACTGAATAAAACTGCAGCAGTCAGGAGTCTCTAGTTGATTAGCCTCTGGCCTCAAGCCTCACCTTAATCTCTTACAGTGGATAAGCACAAGCAAAATATTGACCATAACTTTATTAAATGTCAGAAACCTGATCCTGAAAAGTTGTTCAACTATGCTAAGCTACCTTTGGAGAGCCATCTGGAGTTGTCTGGTCCCTTATTCACTGTTATTCATTGTTATTCTTTCAATCAAGATGAGTCTATACTTAAAATGGGAATTTCTGATATCCTGTTTGTTATTCCACAGCTGAGGGAAAGATGATTTCACTTGGACATTAATATAAGTTCTCTTATTTTTGCTAGCATGCAATGTTCACTGCAATTCACAAGCATTATTCTCTGGAAGAATGGAAACTGTTTGCTGCCAATCACCCAGAATGCCTTGAGGTACATTTTCATACTGTACATTATTATGGTTTATTGCTTTGTTCTGAACTCACATACCTTGAGGTCTCTTGGGAATACTGTTGTGAAGAAAGGTTTTGGGGAATGAAAGTATTTGCTCTTATTTAACACATCTAGGGAAGTGGCTTGTCCTCTTTGACTCTTTGAATCCATTTTGCAAGTACTTATGTTAAGATGCAAAAAGCAAAGAGTATCTATTCTTAGAAAGGAAACAGAAACACCCTGAACAAACAAGAAGGAAGCATCTGGGAATTGATCTGGCTGCTGGCCTTTTGTTCCTGGTGGGAGCAGTGATAGCGTTGGGAAGGGAGAAGCCCAAGTTCACAAATGTGAATCGCACTGTGTTAATCCATATGAACTGACCCTGCGTGCCCTACTGCTAGGCAGAGTCTTTGCTGTCAGGTATGAAAGCAGACACAGAGCCCGTGGGCTGGAGTGGCCCAAGTGCTGGATTGAAGTAGGGATAAGTTTTGAAAGTTGTCAGTGTATGTATCTTCCATTTACCTCCTTGCACCAGTAGAAGAGCAGGTCTAGTTATCCCCAGTACTCCTCAGTTTGGCACAGTTTTGAAGTGGTCCTGTATAGAGAAGAATACTGCATAGCTGTATTGTATCCTTACCTTAGGATTATGTTGTATAGACTGTTGATTACAGAATTGTCTGAAAGTCAGTCCTATCGCTTAGGTTCATCAAGATTCCTTTTTGCCACCATAGGTTAGCAAGTGATCCTAGGAATGCCTGAACACTTTGGCACTTAGGTAGCTCTTTGTGGTTCCTAATCACCAGAGCAGGCTCTCTTAGTGATTAAATTCTGACTTGCTCTGTGGCCTTGGATCTTTGTAGAGGTTTTTGGGCCAACTGCCATGGAAACTATTCTTCTAGCGTAGGGAACTTTTACAAAGACAAAGGAGGAAGTGATCTGCTTGTTTTTGATAGTAGCAGGCCCTGCTTCAGCGAGGGGGTTGGACTGCAGCCTCCAGAGGTCCCTTATAGGCTGAACTGTTGTGTGATTCTGCAGGTCAGGGAAAGGTTTAGTGAGCTTAAATCCAAATCCCTCTCTATGACACTACTTCAAATTTTGCCACTGTTTCCCTGGACCTACACCAAGTTTAGAGCTTCTGTGTCTGTGTTAATGTAAATAGAGCCGAGCATTCGTTCAGGTGATTATATTTGACTGTGATAAGCCACTTGGGAATGAAGTGCTCATAAAACAGTAACCTTGCTTTGTTTAAGATCCTGTAAACAAAACAGAGGCAACCTTCCTGGTACTGCCAGGAAGGCATTTATTTAATATTATATAGCGTGACTTTAATCAGTTTCCAGCACAGGTTTCCCTTGAAGTCTCCCCAAGACTACGCAATAGAAGATGTACAAGGAGTATTTTCTGCAGTTTTTACGAATTACTGCTCTGTTTTGTTCTCCCTCTGTCTTTCTAGCATGTAGCAGCAAGCTCAGGTAGTGGAAAAGCTGATCTGGATAAATTAACAAGCATTCTAGAGGCCATCCCGCCTATCAGATATATCTGCTTGGATGTGGCAAACGGCTATTCAGAACATTTTGTGGCATTTGTGAAGTCTGTCCGTGCCCTGTTCCCAAATCACACCATTATGGTAAGTCTGTAGAAAGGTTGGAGGATGTGTATGTGAATTCTGTCTGTGAAGAGGGCCTGCAGTTTGGCTGGTAGGCATTGAGAGCCCTGTAGTAGCTCCACCAATTTCTGCGTCCTCGTTGGAGGAAAAAAAAATGAAAAGAGAGAGAAAAAGAAGGCTGTCTGAAACATCTTGCTTCCCAGACAAATGTATGTGGACAGATATTCTTCTGAGAATACAGAGGGCAGCTCTATTCATCTCTCAGTTCAGCAAGGTGTTGACTCTTAGCCAAATGATGATAGTTTAATAACATGTTGGCATTGTCAGTCTTCCACTGCTGAAAGTATCTGTTCAGTGTGTGCTCTGATATAGCAGTGTGATGTTGAGATTTCGGGCTGGGTGGATCCAATTTTTCTACTACTCACATCCTCCTTCCTACACCAAATGCAACCTCTGATGATAAAATATGTAGGTTTATTTTGGTGATTCCGTGCTCAGGTTTGCTGCAGGAACGGGCCTACATCTGTGGTCAGTTGAGGCTGATAGCTATTTCCAGCTACTAGATCCCTAGTTGAACGTAGACTAACCCTTGCTTACGAGGAGAGCCATGGGTGTCTCGTGTAATTGTGAAGGAGATCATGAAGGAGAAAGCAGTCACTGCCAAAGCTTTTTGTGCCCCTTCTGTGATATTCCTGTTCCTTCTCTGAGTCCTGCTGCCATTCCTCCTCTGGTCCTTTTGCACTAAGAGTAAGGTGTTTGCATTTGGAAATGGGAATACTTGCAGCAAAGCCATACTTTGACTTGTTTCTCAGGGCTTTTGATGGAATGAGTTTGAATTTGTTTTCAGGAAAATAGCAGAAATTTTCGAGCAGCAGATTCTTAATGAGGCTACCAAACTTTCTTCGCACCACTGCTGCAAAAAGTTATGTGCTTAGGCAGCACTTTCCCACTTGTTCATGCCAAGCATAACTGTTTGCATATAAAATAAGTGTGGAGTAAAAATGATCATAAGTTCACAGTTTGACTTGGTTCAATAGGGAACTGCATGTTCAAGCAGCTCACAGAAGTCTACGTTCTTTCCTCCAATGTCAATAGAAAGCAGCATTCTTGCCTGCTTGAATGATGGCAGCCCTGGAAAATTGAGGTGATCTGAAATGCCTGGCAGGGTTCTAGGTTACCATAGGCTAATAAATAGGCATCCTTCATCACCTCCCTGCAGACGTGGCAAGCTTTTTGGTATGTCTCTGTTTCTTATGACTTTGAGGAGAACCTTTGAAAATTTGAAGTGATAGTTGTGGGTTTTAGAACTGGCTACTTCATGTTCACAATAGTAAGGGAAGGAAGTGTTTCCTTGCTTTGGAATTAGTAACACTAGTGTTGTTATTACTCCAGTGTCTTTGGCTTGAAGTGTTGTGGGAGGGAGTTTAAACAATTAAAAACAAGAACAAACAAACCAAACCTCTTCCATATTAGTTCTGGTGAGAAAATTGTAATCCCCTCTTCCACCTCCCCATAGACTGTTGACTTCGCTGGCTGAGGAGGGAACTCAACTGAGATGAATTGCCCAGAAGGCACTGGTGTAAGTGCCAGAATTGGGTTTCAAACCCAGATATCAAGTCCGAGGTCCTTATGCCAGTCTCATCCATCTTCCACGTCTGTTCAACTTTTTAGTACCTTTGCTTCTGTGACATAAGTTTTTTCCTCCTCTAAGTCTTGACCTGAGAGCACAACCTATTTAAAAACAGACGCGGGCCGTGACTTGTTCTCTTGCCTTCTCTGACTGTGGCTCCTCTCTCTGATTGTGGCTTAGTATGACTTAGTATGACTCGTGTTCTTCATCTCCTTCAACAGGGACCACCTTTCATTCCTAAAAGCATGCTAGCAGACTTGGAGTGTTCAAAAACCTTCTGTTTTTGAAAGCTTCCAAAGTCTGTGCAGTCTCCAAAAGTCTCCAGTTCAGCTAGGGAGACACACTTATACCCCGTTTCCAAATGAGTTTACTTTGCATTCTGCACAAAAATGGCCTTCTGAAGCTGTTCCTGGCTGCAATACTCATCTAGACTGTTTTTGTGGTACTCTGGAAGACACGTCCTGCTGCTGCCTGTTCTCTGGCAGATTTGATGTTGTACTGTGCATGCTGTTGTAGCTTTCAAACAAAAGAGTTAGCAGTTAAATACAAGATATAAAAGTAAAGGAGCTTTCTCATAGCTGAAAGTGATCTCCAGGACCTTGCAGGCTGTCTTGTTTGCTCTCCTCAGCATGACCATTCATTCCATAGTCAGCTGCAGTGCAGTACAAAACAATAATCCAATCCCAGGTCTCTGGGAATGTGTGTTCCCAGGGGCTGTGTAATGGGGTCAGCTCTGAGGCTGAAATGTGATGTGCAAGGCAACTGTGATTAACATAGTACTCTCTGGGGCCAATACTCCAGTATAGATGAAGGATGTTTCTTGCGTAAGTACTCTTCAAGAGCGTTTCTCCTTTTCTAAATACTTGCTTTTATAATTACATTGCCTTATTTTTTTTCTGCCCTGGCCTTTTGTACTGAATTACAAATATCAGTTTATCCATGAGAGATAAATGATAGGGAACACAGGTGGGAGCGAAAAAGGACTGCATGAATTGCCTTGAATTAGATTAGATTGAGGATGGAGGAAAAAGCAGAGCTTCTGAGAGCTGCGTGGATTTGGCTCTACTTCCCAGAACTGAGAGTAATAGTTCAGTGGGGTGTTAAGGTGTAGCATAGCATGACATTTTTGGGTTGTGCCTCACACTGATGTCTAAAGCAGAATTTCAGTTGACATTAATGATGGAGGGACAGAACCTTTATAGCAGTAAGTGTAGTTGATACTTATTAGTGTAATTGCTGGTGTTAGGGTTCTTCCATTTTACTGAAGGCTACTTTAGCAAGCTAAAATATCACGCCAGCAAAGCCTTTCCAAATATTTATTCTGAATTTTTTCATTGTGTAGTTTTCTCTGTTATACAGAAAAAGCCATGGTGAAAGGAGCAGAGAATGTAGCAAAAAGAAGGCGGCTGAGGCAGGTTCATGCTTGCAGAAGGAGAAGCCCTTGCAAGATGTGGGCCAGAGAAGGCAATCAGAGCTGCAAAACCAGAAGCAAAGGGAAACAGATGGGGCCAGAAACCATTGTTCCCTTCAGAGTCAGTGACAGCACTTCTCATGGCCTCAGTGGCATCAGAATTCAGTTGGAAGAAACCATGTGGGTGCTTCCCAGTTTCTCTCTGCAACAAGCAGCAGTCAGTTTAGTTATGGTGTTTCCATATGGGCTGGAGTCCCAAAGCTGAGGCCAGCTGGAATCTCAGGTCAGAGACAGTGATGCTGCCAAGGCTGTCTTGGACTAGTCACTGTACTGAGCACAAACACCCACCTGATGTGGGCCAGCCTAGCAAAGGGCATTATCCCTACCTTACTGTGAAGCACCCCTTACTTTGGTGGGTGGGAAGTGTCCTTTGGCAGTGTTCTGAGAGTGTGGAAGCACAGACTGTGCGTTCTCCTCTAGGATACAAGAAGAAAGTTTGAGAACTGTTGTCACAGACTTTTCTCCCCAGCTTGATCCATTGCCATTTGTCAGCAGCTTTCAATCAGTGCAGCAGTGTTCCTGTCGTAGTCAGTGAGAGTCGATATTTATAGCAGGCTTTTATGAGGCACAGTATCAAATGCCTGACTGAGATTCAGAGGCACTACCCTACTGTGTTCACTAATTTTATATCTCTGTCAGGGAAGCTGTAGTCTTTATAATCCTGTTAGGTGAAATCTTGATCCCACTAAAGTCGGTAGTGAAATTCCTTTTGACTTTTGTGAGGTCAGGACTTCCCTCAGGTTTGACCCACAGTTTGGTCATCATAGGTAGTGTTGGAATGAGCCAGGGTGGCACTCACTGAAACCTCACACTAAAGGATGGTACAGCTGAATGTCATCCTGAGCACATAAGGCCAGGCCCACAGCCAGAGTAATTTGCTAGAACTCCTAATAACTGACCACATTGAAAGCATGCTGGTTAGCCTGAGCTGCAGGGACTTGCAGTTGTTACTGATGCTATTATTTTATTGCCCGAAGTAGCGAAGTTAGATTAGTGATAAGGTGATTAAGGGTATATCTTTTTCAAGTAAGTTGTACAGCAGATGAGCACTGCATTAGTATGTTGAGCATTGTTTTTGCTAACACAGTACATCCACTAGTTATGTTTCCTGACTGCTTTTTACTTCTTCGCACAAGTTCCAATTACTTTCTTAGTTAATTTTAAAGGAGGTTCATCTCTTTAGTCTCAGTCGTTTGACATTCATATTATCCATCTTTTGGTTTTTGTTTTTTTTCCCACTTCCAGTGATCTGTTTTTATCTTGGCGGTGGGCCTTTCAAAAGCCCTTTTACCTCTACTCAGCTGTCATGCTGGCATCAGTGATAAAACAGCCATTGGTTTCAGTGGAAGCAGAGGTCAGCTGGATGTGAGACAACAGCTTTCCTTGCTCTTCAGCTGTGATATTACAGTTCTTTTGCATGCAGATAGTTGTATCTCTCTGACAGTATTTTCTGTCCTCTTAGAGGCCTGAAAAGAGAAGCAAGCCTGTCATCAGCAGGCTGAAGTCTGCTATGTAGAGCTTCACATCTTCCCTGAAAAGTTGTTGAGGATCTGCAGATTCAGAAATACTGAAACACACTGGTGTGTGCACATGCATTCCAGGAAAAAAAACCCGCATGTTGGAGACATAAGTGCTTCTCCCTGTTAGGATGAACATTTTGAGTCAACGTATGCGGTTACAACATTCTCTAGCAGTAATTTTGCATTAAACGTCTGGTTAGCGCTTCTGAAGAGACAGCTTGACAACCTGCCACGCGCTGCTAATAGGAAGGCACTGCTGTTCAGTTTAAATACAGATTTGATCCTAAATCTCACTGAGCCACTGGCTTTAATATGTGTTTGCTCCTGTTGACAAATCTGTCGCATGTGCTCCAGTATTTCACCAAGTCATAACGTGCTTCACAGATAATCATCTGCTTTCCCAAAGTAGACTGCTTCCCAAATGTAAGCAGCATGCTCTCTGTCACCTCACCCTGGATTGTGTAATGCTTAGTGTAACAAATTGCCACTGAGCAGAAAGAAAGCAACACTTAGCTGGAAATGCTGTACTTACATATTCTCAGTTTCCCAATGATTCTCTTTTATTATTTCTATTCTTTTTTCCTTAATCAATATCATGCCATCTTGAGAAAAGTTAAGTGGTCCTGTGTCATACACCACAGCTTGCTGCCTAAATTTGTCATTGTTTTTTCAAGTGCCTCAGATTGTGACTTGCCAGCTGTTTCAGGTCAATGAAAGTGAGGAGTAAAATCCGTTAAAAACAAATAAATGATGAATTAGAGGCCAAAAAACAATAACAGGAGAATAGGCCTTGCCTGATGTTTTCTGGGCAGCTCATGTTAACCTCCACAGATGTTTTGTTTCAATAAAAATGAAGCAAATATTAAGTGTTTCAGGTTTTGCTTTCTGCTCTGCTTTTATCAGCACTACTACAAACACTTGCTAAGTCCTGAAAAATGGTTACATAAGAGATTTTCTCTAGGTCTTAAATTCAATCTTAACAAATGAATTGCCCATCTCAGTACAAGGTTAAAATGGATGATGTGGGCAACTGGAATCATGTTTCATGTAAGTTTGTTATATACAGTTATATACAGCTTTTGCTCGTTAGGAACATGCTGTAGACATTTCACAAAGCTGGGATCCAGAGCAGACTTGGTTTTGGAACATATCTCTTGCAACCTGAGCTTACTGGACCAATCATGAAAGTAATTAGAGTCTGAATTGTACCTGTATGATCTCTTTAATTTTAGTGGTGTGTGCAGAGAAGAATACGGTGAGCTATATTCTCTCTGACTATGTAGCTCAACAGGTAAAAGATCTGGATAAAACTCTGTTACCACAATTAGTCTTTGCTGCACTAGTCTTACAATTGCCTATATATGTGATATTGTTCCTTCTGTCTAGGCAGGCAACGTGGTGACAGGAGAAATGGTAGAAGAACTTCTTCTTTCTGGAGCAGACATTATTAAAGTGGGTATCGGACCAGGTAAGTGGAATGCAGTCAAATAAGGGTGGTTTATGGTAACACTTAGTTGTCCAGATGGAAGTAGCGTGTAACGCTGTAGCTGTCTGCTTGTCAGAATTCCTAGACCACTGAAGACAGTAAAGTAACACAGTGCCCTTGCTCCATAGTATGTTTAAGAAATACACTGGCAGAGTGCTAGTGTAATGTACTACAAAATGTTGGATGTTGTGTTTCCAGGAAATGTAGATACCTATAGTTAGAAGCACCGAGTTGCCTGAGTTGCTGATATAATCAGTGGCATTTTATGTCACGTTTTCTTCTTTTCCTCCTTTGTGTGTTCATTCATGTGCTCCTTCACTTTGCCATTTCTTTCACAGACCGCAGCTGGGGTCAACGTGTAGGCTGCCATTTAAACTGGCTAGCAGGTACCACTGATAGTATAGCTGTGATCGGCCAGTGCAATGCAGGAGGGTTCTTTATATTGCCAAATGATATGGCCCTTGAATGGGTAAGCTGAGAATAAGAAATGATGCGACAAAGGTTGCAGTTTTTCCATGGGAGGCCATCAAAGAACAGTAAATACTGCAAAATAGTTGAAGAGTAAGCAACAGAGATGTTGCAGTGCAGTGTCACAGGAAAGTTCAGGTATAAAAGACATAGTGTGGTTTGTAGCTTCAAAGTAGAAACAGATAGGACTAAATGTGTAAGCCTCCCTGGATAGCTGCCAGCACAGAGCTTTACAAGTTGATGAGCTAATGACACAGGTAACAGATGTTCCTCAGAGAAGGAAGGACACCTTTTAGGTCTCTCCAAGACAGTGGTTCACTTTGTGGATTATGGCAGTGATTTATTACAAAGCATTGGGCACATAAGTACATGCTTTCTCTGTGGAGATTATCATAAAATCATTTTTTTCCTACTTTGCAGAAATAATTTTGAGTGTTTGCTTGTCAGTGTTCAGCAAGATCACTGGAAACTTTTGCTTTACTGACAGTTTTGAGTGTACCTGGATGTCAGTTGGGTAAAGAGATTAACTGCAGTTGGGTGAAGAGATTTCACTGCATTTGGTTTAGGATCCGTTTTCTTGTTATCATGCAGACCTTTATGGCCTGTATTCTAAATGATAAGGCATGGACTATCAAAAAGCAATCCTCTTTTTGACAATTCCTCTTGAAAAGTAGAGAAGGTATTTCAAAAGATCAATAGCCATGTTATCATGTTCAAGCTGTAATTGGAATATTTATATAAATGCCTATAGCTTTTAAAAATATATCTATACACCTTTATATATATATATATATATATATATATACACACACACGTATAAAATATATGTATACATAGTCACACATGCACCATATATGTATACACACCCCCCCACATATTTTCTGTGATAATTATTTTTTAAAAATTCATGTAGAAAATAGATAAATAGAAATATTTATTGGAAGAAATATTCAGATACTAAAAGCTGATGCTGAGCCTCGCTGAAGCTGAGACTCTCTGGTTCCTTTGTCCCTTTTCCCTTCAGGCACCGTGGTCAGATTACTTTCCCACTAGGCATTAAATCCGTCAGCAGGAAGCATTATGGATGAGACCTAAACTGGGAATTGGGGACCTGGAGAAGAAGGGGAAGTGTTAGTCACTTTAATTACAGCTGCCATGAAGTAGTCTGATAGCATTTCAAAATTAGATTTCGTTTGTCTTCCCTTTATCCACGAGAATAACATTTACAATAGAGACTTCATGAGCAATAACACAGACAGAAACACATTTTTTTTCCACTGTTAAAAGAAAGCAGTCTTGCAACTCTTTTCCAACCATGGTGGTTCTGTGATTCTTTTCTGGCAGCCTAACTAACTGCCTGTGTTTTTTCCTCTCATTTTCTTGTCTAGGTTCTGTGTGTACCACTCGGATTAAGACAGGGGTGGGCTATCCACAGCTAAGTGCTGTTATTGAGTGTGCAGACTCAGCACATGGCTTGAAAGGACATATCATCTCTGTAAGTAAATATCATCTGCTCTCAGATTCCCACTGTGCAAACCATTGCGGAATGGGAGAATCAAACAGTCCAGTACCTTGCATGTTAAAGGCTATCTTTTTGTCATTTCCAGTTGACCACTATACAAGCTGCTAGGTAGTGAAGATTTAAAGGAACCAACTTGCTTTTTAATGTTTAAAAAGACTTGGGCATCTCATTCCTTTTTGCGACTTTGGAAAGCTGCTCTTTGTTCCCTGAATTGAGTTGTTGAGTTGAGTATGTTGGTACACGAACAGAATAGGAAGCTTGATAATTCTTATACTGAAGCAAAACAGTGCTTCCTACAAGAGATTTCTGAGAAATGAGTGAAATGTAAATACGGCCTTCCTGAGAGAGTAGGACTAAGTGACAGACAGGCAGCAGAGGGGAGTACAAGATAAAATGATATGTCTGTCTATGCCGTGATAGCTGGGTGGATTCAGATAGCATCCTCACAGAGCTCTTTGTGCAGGAACAGCAGCATTTCAGAGATGGGTGTGGATGAGCTTGTTTGCTACTGATGCTCTGGGGAAATGCTGAGCCTGCAGAGGAAGAAGAGGATATGTATGCATTGCCTGCTAATGGCAGCTTTCAGTCTACCAGCAAGATCACTCACCTCTCTTGGAAATCTGTAAGCATGGTCTCAGATTGAGCTAGACTGGAGCCTGCAGTACCCAAAGGTCCTGTGTGCTTAGGCATGCCTAGCCAGTCAGTGTGTCCCTGACTGCCAGGCTTGCAGAGACTCTGCAGGCTGTCTTGTTAGGCAGCTGATAATCAGGCATCAGGGCTATGCAGCATTCTGTGCTCACAGGTACCCCTACAGTAAACTCTCCCTCTGTGGCTGTAGGAGTGACTGCATGTTGAGTTTTAGAGCTGCTGCCATGTGAAATCACTGGAAGGGCCCAGTTTTGTTTGATTGGGTTGTGACTAGTATCCTTGTGAGGAAATGTCTGTTCTTCTGAGGAAGGAGAGTAGGGGAGAGGAGAACAAACTGTGGCAGAGGGCCTGACTATACTTGGAGCTGTGGCTATAGTGGAGCAAGTAAACAAGTATAGGGTGCAGTCAGATCTCTCTTCTCTTTAAAGTTAATGCATGTACATTCATTCCTCTCCCTGACTACCTTATCTGATTTTGCAGGGAAAAAAAGAGAAAAGCAGTCTGTGATTTTATGACTTGGGCAGTATTACAAGAGTTTATGCCTGTGGCAGACAGCTGAATATGTATGCAACAGAGCATGAAACTTATTTCTAATAAGCATGAAGCTTATTACTACGAAGGCTGGATAACTGTATGTTATCCAACATACTTGTTGGATGGTTGTCCTACTAGTCGTGCTCAGAAACCCATCCTGGTTTTGCAATAAGCATTTTCTGCTAACAGCTCTCTCAGTCACTTTTTCAAGAAAACATGGATTGTGTATCAGATGGCTGTGTGCAGTTCTGTTATTTCTGGATTTGCAGATGGATCAGTTCCTGACCTGCTTAGATCATGTAGGTTTCAGTGAGCCTACATACCCCCCTAGCCATTACCCCATAACAGCGGTGTCCAACACCTCTGCACCTCGAGTCTCTCCTTCAAGCTAATGAGACTAGAGCAAGGGTTGAAGGTATTATGCTTTAATTATGCAGTGTGCAGGTAGACACTGATGTGTTTATTGGAAAGGCTGGCCTGCATGGTCATTGCTGGACCTCTGGGAAGACTATTAAAGAAGAGAGGTACCTTCTGAGAGGAGACACCAAATGGGAGCAAATCTAAGTACATAACTGGGGCTAGACATGAAAAGTAAACTTGGCATTCCTCAAAATGTCTTGTTACTGCCATTTTGTAGATTAGGGAGGGGGCATACCTTGCCTGAGTCCAAAGAGACCTCTACAGGCAGAGTCTTACCATGGCCATCTACAGCAATTAGGCAAGAGAAAATATGCCTAGCTAGTTTTTATCACGTTGATACCAAAGTGGCAGCAAGGATGTATGGGATTCAAAGCCTACCAGCTGTCTTCATGTGGGTTACACCTGATGGTGCGGTGTGGGTATGTCCCTTGGGGTGCATTTTCTTCCCTTGTGTCCATCACCTTCATCAAATTGAGTCTCTCTAATGTTACCTGTAAGGGGAAGTCCTACTCACAGAATAAGACAGCAACAATGCTTAGCATGGTTATGGACTCTCTGAGGAACACAACACACTTCAAACGCATTCTCTAGCAAGTCTGCTAGGATGGCAGCACAAACTGGGATTTCAAACATTTTGTATTACTGAAGTGATCATGTATGGTTTTTGGAGCTGATATGTTGATAAAGAAGGTGACAATTTTTAGGCAGTCATATCACTTTACAGTCACACATGCACAGAAGGGGGGTGTGAAACGGTACCAGTTACATTCCTCATGCTGAGTTATCTTTAAGACTCAAAGCTCACCTCAGAAATGAATCTTTCATGGCTCACTGAAAGAGGAAACTGCCTAAGATATGGGTGATGTTTCTATCCTGCACTATTTGTCTGGGAGCCAATAGTCTCACTTCTCATTGGCTTTGATAAAGCACAGCAGTGAGTTACACTAGAGAGACCATTTAGCAGAAAAGCTCCTTCAGAAACACCCTACTCAACATAAAGTTTCTTTCTCTTGTAGGTCAGTGAGCTGCTCTGCTGGATAGAGAGGCAATCATGTTTTTTAGTAACACGTGCAGCAAATGTGGGCAATGCAAAATGGCCTTATATGTGTTCTCTCTCATCTCACCATTTGATTGATATCCCTTTTTTCTCTTTACCCTGCATGGGTAATAGATGATAGATATTCAAGGAAAAGGATGACTTAGGGGTTCTTGGTCTAGCTACTGCCATCCCTTTTCTTCCTCCACACAGAACGCATTCCATGCAGAAATATGCCCAGTATGTGTAGCTCAGAATAAAGCACCATATGTATTGTTTCTACTGCTGTATATGCCACACATTTTATATATCTTCTGCATAATAAATAGCTGCCTGCTGATACTGTAGGAATAACTAATTATTCTGTTGATTGTAAATGTTGCTTGAAACATACAAGTCATAGTTATACTTCTGTTGTAAGCTGGATATAATATTCAATCAGTTCTTGCTGTTTTTTCATCTTGTGTTTCTCCCCAGGCTAAGTTTTGTTGTTGTAAATGGTCTGTCTATTTTGAGAACAAGACCGTGAAAAACAAAATAATTTTAGCCATGATAAAATAATTCCATTGACTGGAAAGCTGTCTTCTCCTTTGCTTTAGCTTAGCACCTAGTTGTTTCAGAGGCTCCCCTTTCCTTTTACTGGAAACCCTTTCCAATAAGCCTGCTTTAGATTAATGCCAGTTCTCAATTTGCAGGGGGATTTGTACAGTTAAATTTCCCCAGGGCTGTGAGATAGAGGCTGTCTGCACCAAGCCCCATGACTGTAGCCCAGCAGTTCTGCAGGTCATTCTAAGCCAAGATCCAGGCCCTTGCTGGAACTAGCTGAACTGCAAGGGGAAGATTCCCAGGCTGATTGCAGCAGAAGCACCATCTCATTTTCTAAACAGAGCACTTGATTTTACACATGTAATGAAATATTTTAATGCATATAGCTTTATTATGGCATCTTCCAGCATAACTGCTTAGTATATCTTCTTTTTGTTTTCCTTTCTTTGAAACAATGTCATTTAATTTACCTGCTTATGTGGAGACATTACAGACAAAGAAATGCTGTGAATCATCATCGTTTGTTCCTTTTATCTTAAATGGTAACATGTGAGCTTTTGGGATAGTTAGTCTGCTCAGTGTTTTGTTCCTTGATGATTTTTTTGAAGCAAATGAATAATGTCGACACAGTAAGACCCTCTATCCTTGTGAAAGCATAAAGCCTCCATCACTGCCACTACTGGGTTAATTATGGAAGTCAGACATGAAGCCACACAACAAGAACAGACAGAAACCCATCGACCAGAGAGCATTTATAGCCAGCCGGTCTCAGTTAGAGTCGGGCAAATTCCTGACACTGTTCTTTGAAGATTATTAGACCCTTCTTTCTACCTCTGCTGTTCCTCCCCTGACACATGCGTGCATACACTCTCACCCTCCTCCAGGCTCTGACAGAGAGAGAGAATTGCACAAGCGCAGGAGAAAGAGAGATTCAGCTGTCAACCCAGCACTCATTTCTGGAGCTGACAGCAAGAGTGTCTAGCTTAACAAAAAGCATAATGTGCTAGAGGTTATCAGCAAATGGATTAAAAGCCTTTAAACTTCTGCCAGGCACTGTTTCCAGTGGGATGCCTTTTGAAAAGCCGCTCATTTTTGAATCCACCTGCTCAGTTTGTGTCTGTATCCCGTTCTGCGCACAGAGGGGTTCTAACACTCAGCCCCACTGCCAGCTACCTGTGAATGCTGGCTCTAAAATGGCTGCTGGTAGGGGCTTCTAGCTGTGCTCAGCCACAGGCACATATTTCTAGTGACAGGGAGACGAAACAAAATGAAGTAACCATACAGTCTGGGGGCTAAACTCAAAAGCAGGAAGCCTGTCAGCAGTCTGCAGAGTACCCCGATCTTCAAAGAAACTGGGAGCTCTCTTGTTACGATGGCTTTGTAGGCTTGAAGGATCTTTCATCTGATGTTCTGACCTTTATGAAACCTAAAAAGCCATAACACGTGAGCTCTGCTGTGCGCCTTCCTTTTTAACAGCCCTATCACACATAAATGACTTTCCTCCCTCAACCAAAATGCCCTCATCAGTCACTTTGCTCTGAAACTGAAACACAAATTTCTAAAATGCTAACGAACTGAAAATGCTGCTGTTTCTTTACCTAACCCGAAGCAAACACTGAGGAGTAGGATGAGAGATTAATTTTCACTTACCAAAGATCAGATTACCCAATTTGCTTACAGATTATCAGTTCAAAACCCAACATATCTGATGGTATGTTTCCTTACTCCTCCTACTGTGACCTTTTAATTCATTGTAAACTGCTGAGAAAGTTATTTTAAATGTCTTTGCTGGTTTATAGTAGGGGTTTGTGGTACCTCTGCATCATACAGCCTTTAATTAAAATGGCAGGGAATGATTCAGATCATAAGAAGAGTTTTTTGTTTTCCAGTTTCTGAGATTTAGGAAATGTCAGTCGGGAATTTACATCACTGCTGTTAGCAGTGTTATTATTGTTACACCTAACTGGTAGAGTAAATGAGATTAATGTATAAAAGCAATAGAAAGGATAATGTGAATTCCCTAGAAACTCAGCCAAGTTGATATACCACTGGTATGCCAGTGATGCAGTCAGCTCCTGCTGGGCTTTTCCTGCAGAGAGGCCATTTGACTGCAAATCACAGGGTGCTGATGTTTACCGGGTCCCTTCTTTTCTTTATGCAGGATGGAGGATGCAGCTGCCCAGGAGATGTCGCCAAAGCGTTTGGTAAGGACAATATGCAGGGCCACATGTTGCACCCTGCATACCTCCAGCATGGCCAGCAGTGGTGCAGGACTCAATTTGACCCCGTGTGTGTAATCGGTAGTAGGTTACATTTGTCCCTATGGGTGACTGCAGTGAAATTAATACACTAGACATGAATTTGCTCTTTGTACTGGACAGCCAAAATTCTACAGAGAAAAAGTATACAGTGGTCGAAGTCCTATTTAGAAACTATCTGCCAGATATGCGTAGGATAGAGCCCGTGGGACAGTAATACAAAGAAAGCTGATAAGGGTTTCTTCTGAGTAGGGTTCAAAGATGACTGTAGCACTGGCTGACCTGAGCTCTGGATGGATGAAGAGATGGTGAAATGTGTGTTGGAGAGAAGAACAAAGAAAAAAGCAGGGCAGATTCCCAGAGACGTTCTTGGGATCTCCACTTGAAGAGATGAGATTTTATTTATAACGTATCCCCTAAAGCTGAGCAGATGTCTGAAATACCTAAGTTAATAATTAACAGGTTTTGCTCTCATGCCAAAAGCTCCAGTAAATCGTACTAGCTTTTGCTGACAGAATAGAGAATTTAGCCTGTGAGCGTTTTCTGTTGGGGAACTTACATCACTGTGGAGGGTCGAGGTTAGGATTGTCTCTTAGCCATAACATTTTTGCAGCTGTGTGTGTGAACAAAGGACTAAAAGGATCCTGGGCTTACAGGACACTTAAAGACAGTTCTCACAATATCAGACCCTTTGGAGATGTCACAGTAGGGTAATGCCCAGAATATAGTAGGACAGCATAGTCTCATTGCGATTTCAGGGTGATACAAAACTAGAGACAGCATGTTGTGATACAACACATCTGCTCAGCAGGAAGCTTTGCAAGTATGGAAAGCACAGTCAGGCCTAAACTGAGATTACAGACCTTCCAAGAAAAAAAAACTGAACCTCCTGGAAATTTTGAAACTGAAATCAATCTCCTAGGTTTGCCAACAGCTCCTGGTTTTAGACAGTTGATATGACAAGACATAATTAGAGAATTTTAAGCAGGAGTGAGTGGTACCACCAAGGAATCTGCTCTGTCACAGGATTTCACAGGACCTTTGTGTTACCCAATGGGTGATGTGATGTGAAGATAGGTACTTTCAGCTGAGTGATTCTGACATAGCTGAACAGCAGCATCCACTCTCTCTGACAAGATTTTGTTAAAAAAAACCACCCAACTTCTCCTCAGCTCAGATTAGCTACCTGTGACATCATGCCGTCTGCAGTGAAAGCTTTGTTCTCTCTGACTTTGTCTGGCTCCTCAGCTGTCCCCAGATCTTGCTCACATTGTCTTTGGGGCATTGTGAACCTGCAGTGCAATCTCACTGCATTCCGTGCAGGTTGCACAGAAACCTGGCCCTGAAAAGGTCTTTCTTCACAGGAGTATTCCCAGAAGTTAGAACAGGGAGCAACTTCAAATATTTTCCCTTGTAATAGACTTGCTAGCAAATCTGAAGGGTCCCTTTAACCTCTTTGGGCTATACTGAAGAGAAGCTAGCTTGAAACCTATGAGGGGGCAGATTCTGGACTTGCTGTTTGTTGTGAGGTGCTGGGATTCAGAGTGGGATGTCTGAAAGATACCACAGATTGTTCCTGGAGAGGAGGAGCACTAGAAACTTAAGATGACACAGACAGAAGTTGTACTCTGATGGTAGGCCAGGTCAATCAGTCTGCCCTGTGTCAAAGGGATTAGAACTGATAGACATAATCCTGGGGCAAAAGATTTACCATGTCTGGTTACGTATAATTGAGGCAGCCAGTCTATGGACATCTGACTAGCTGGAGCTAGGTGTGCTTTTTTTAAAGGTAGGTGCTAAAATAAGGGTCTAGAGATGGAGTGTAGACAAGAGACCCAAAGAGGACTTTTTGTTAACTGTGTTGTCAATTTTACTGTCTCTTTTTGCTGGGTTATTGTGAAGTCTTTGTGAAAGGGATGTAGGGCAGTGACAGTGCAGCCATTTGGATCATTTGAATATGAGAAAGTCCCAGATGTGACGAGTAGCACTGAAAATTAGAAGAGGCGAGTTCATGGCAGGAGGAAGTTTTGAGTGGATTGATTGCAACTGAGGAATTGGGGAAAATAAACAAAAAACAACGGCATGAAAATGCTGAGAAGCTTTACAAGTAAAAGTTTGCACCACTACTGGTGACAGGAATCAAGGGTAGGCTGGGCATTTGGACAGAAGAAGAGCAAGGTAGAAGCCTAGTACAAAAGGGAAGGAGCAGAGAAACACTAAAAGGGACAAAAATGCAGGGGACAGATGCCTTTGGGAAAGACTGCTGGAATTCTGGAATTGCTGAATGGAAACTGCTTATGGATTTGGGAAACTGAAGATGACACTGCCATCTGAGTATTGGAAATGATAATGGAAAATGGTTCATCAGGGAGAAGAGATTTTGAAAGCATGAAATAACCTTGTCTCTAATATGGTTCACATAACTGCACCCTTGGAAGGGCTGATAACATGAATACATTTCTCAGAATGCCCCAGGGAGGCACTACTGTCCCTGTTTTTATAGATGAAAAGTCAAAGCACAGAGATACTAAGTTCTGTCGCCTGAGGTCACATATTTTTTTGTGAAACAACCAGGAACAGAATGTGCCTTTTGAATCCTCTGCCAGCATCTTAAATGCAATATTTCTGTTCCTTACAGCAGTGGTGAGAAAGGATATGTGAGTAGAGAGTGAAAAGGAAGGAAAAATCAGATGGCAGAGTCAACTGGGAACCTGCACTGGTTCCAAAATATACCTGACAGATCGTGCTGGCTTTTTTTCTTCTTTTCAAAAGCTGTGTCTGTATACCTGCTGTTGCGAAGGCTTGCTGCCTCATCTGGAGCACAGGTGAATGTTGCTTCCAGGGCCAGCTGTGGTGCATCTGCATGGAGGGCTGGCCATGCTACAAATTTAGGCTGACTCCACCTGAATTTGTGGAGAGTTTATCTGGTTATCAGTAATTATTGTATTATTAGGCATACAAAAGCCATCTGAGGGACTCCATCCAGTTCCAGCAGAACTGTGTGAGAGCTGAAAGAGTAGGTTGGCTTCAGCATATCTTCTGTGGCTGTGTGAAAGAGAAGGTGTTGCAGGATGTGAATGACCAAAATCAGCCCTGTAGGGCTCAAGGGGGATGTCCTCTCCAGCATCAGTGTGTTGAAGTGGCACTGTGCAGGAGCAGGCCACGTCTAGCAAACTCTGGACAAACTACTCAGTTGCTTGTATGTAGTGTACCCCATCACATCCTGTACTATTTGGAGGATTGTTGTCAGGTGTTGCCATTCCTTCAGTACATAAAATAATGTCATACTGTGTGTACTTGAAAATGAAAGACTGCCAGGTATGTACTGAAAGCATTACCCATGCTAACAGAAACAACATCACACATAGGTAAGGAAACTACATCTAAGTAAGGAAAAACAGTGCTAAAAAGTGGTACCTTCTGGTGACATGTTAAATGGGACTGAAGTGGAACAGACTTGAAACTTTGAGACACTATTGCAACGCTGAAGCAGGGTAGAAAGTTCTAGAGAGCATTGGAAAAATACATTACATATGAGCTTGTCATTCCTGGAGCTACAGGGCAGTAAGCATGTTTCATTCTAATGTTTAGAAAAGCTGCAGTGTGCAAGGCAGAACTCTTCACTGTATCTGTAGTAACATGGCTCCTCTCTTCTGGAAGGGCTAGATGAATTATGTTGTAGTTTGAAAGAGCTAATCAAATTGGAGGAGCTTCAATCTTGTAGTTGAAACATATTTGCTTTCCTACCAAAATGTGCAGTCAAAAGAAAAATAATAGGTTGATACTTAAGTATGCAGGAAGCAGAATTCTGTGATCCTAAAGCATGGATTTTGTCTTTTGGGCACTAATTGGAAGCAGTAGGACCCACAGTCAGAGACAGAACTAGAAACTGTTAAATTGCTAGGCCACTATCCATCATGTACGAGGAGCTGTGATGGTCCAGTGAAGTTTCTAGTGATCAGAAAAGGAGAAATATGACCCCCATTTTTAAAAAAGGAAACAAAATCTGTGGAACTGCTTGCTGGTCAGTCTCACCTCTGTTCTCAGAAGATTACGGGGCATACCTGCCTGGAAACTATGCTGAGGGCACAGGGAGAGCAAATGTCAGTGGTGACAGCCAGGATGGCTTCACTAAGGGCAAATCACACCTGACAAATTTGGTGGCCTTCTGTGATGGAGTTGTAGCGCTGGTGGATAGGAAAGAGCAGCTGACCTCATCTGTTTGGACGTGTGCAAAGTATTTGACGCTGTCCTGAATAACGTCCTTGGCTCTAAATCAAAGAAGCATGGGTGGGAAAGATGGACCACTCAGTGGATAAGGAATTGGCTGGATGGTCACACTCAAAGAGTTGCTGTCAGTGGCTCAGCATCCAAGCGGAGACCTGTGACGAGTGGCATTCCTCAGGTGTCAGTACTGGGACCAGTGCTGTTTAACAAGTTTGTCAGTAACATGGAGAGCGGGACTGAGTGCACCCTCAGCAGGTTTGCTGATGACAGCAGGCCGAGTGGTGCTGTTGACACACAGGACCTTGACAGGTTAGGGAATTGGGCCCATGCAAACGTCATGAAATTCAACAAGGCCAAGTGCAAGGTCCTGCACCTGGACTGGGGTAATCCTACCAACCCAGGCTGAATGGCACATGGATTCAGATTGGCCTTGTGGAGAAGGACTTGGAAGTGTTGGTTGATGAGAAACTCAACATGAGCCAGCAGTGTGTGCTTCCAGCCCAGAAAGCCAACCCTATCCTGTGCTGTATCAAAAGGAGCCTGGCCAGGAGGGTGAAAGAGTTGATTGTCCCCCTCTGTCCTGCTCTTGTGAGGCCCCACCTACAGTACTGCATTCAGCTCTGGGGCCCCAACATAAGAGGACATGGAGGTGTTGAAGCACGTCCAGAGTAAGGCCACAAGGATGGTTAGAGAGCTGGAACACCTCTCCTGTGAAGATAAAGGCTGAGGGAGTTGGGGTTGTCCAGCTTGGAGAAGACTCTGAGGAGACCTTGTTGGGCCCTTCCCTTACCAAAAGGGGCAACAAGAGAGCTGAGCAGGGACTCTTTGTCAGGGAGTAGAGTGACAGGACAAGAGGTGATGGTTTTAAGTTAAAAGAGGGTAGATTTTTATTAGATATTTGGGAGAAATTCTTCACTATGAGGGTGATGAGGCTGCCTGGAGAAGCTATGGATGATCTATGGAGACATTCAGGGCCAGGTTGGACAGAGCCCTGGGCAGCCTTTTCTGGTGGAAGATGTCCCTTCATATGGCAGCAGTGCAGAACTAGATGGTCTTTAAGGTCCCTTACAAACCAAATCATTCTATGATTCTATGAAATAGGGATCAGAGGGTGCTATTGGCAGAGTCTCGTGTTCTTTGGCAGGCCTTTGATTTGTTTAAAATCCTTTTTGAAAGGACCTTTACTCTAAATCCTTTCCCCTTTCATCATGTTGTTATCTTCCATTCTTGAAGGAGACATCAACTAGATTTCCCAGAGTACTTTTTTTGCAAAGGTGGAACAGGAGTGTGTCAGGTAGCAGCAGGAGCTCCCTGCCCGTAATTGAGAATTATCTTAAAGGATAAGCATTCCCATTGTTTTTGGCGAGTTAATAGTAGGATCAGGTGTGAGTCAAACTGAGGCTTTAAAACTTGGCCATCTGCAACAAGAGAACTCAGGAAGCTGGCACGGTAGGATGCCGAAATGTGTGCCTGCCTATAAACTTTGCTTGTGATATGCTTAGCACTTTGGCACAAGCCTCATTTTTAATATCTCTTTACTAGGGACATATTGTTCCTTTCAAACAACAACCAGGCAAAAGGAGATGAGGTCAGCAGAGCAGCTGGTTGCTGTGCTCACAGCCATTGTTGATAGGTCTGCTCTTTCGTGAAAGGGAGGTGGGAGGGAACTGGCTTATATAAACCAAAGCACACTCCGCAGTTCTCATTTATTCTAAGATCAAAATACTCCCAAATTCAGGTTTATGTACTGAGCTTTTAAACAGATGGCAGAAGCTGAGTAGATTTGATAATCATCTCGCTTACTTTTCAGATTTGGATTGTGGCATATCAGACCAAATCCTAAGTTCCAGACTTACCTAGCCTAGGATCTCCCTAGTGTCTCTGGACATGTTTGTGACTGGGTGGGGCTAATTCAGGCTCAACTGCTTTCTAGGAAGTGAGGATTATATCCCTGTTCTTTTGCAAATTCTAGGAAGAAGCTGAGCAGAGAGGAGGTCTGTTCTGCAACGTGCATATGGATGAAGCAGAGAGTTTCAGGGATGGGTCACCACAGCCTCATAAAAGCCAAACTTCTCCAAACAAGACAAAATGTCATAGGAGTAGCTGCTGGTGGAATAGTTCCAGTACAGCTGGAAATATTGGAAATTGCAATCACAGTCTTGGAAAACTAACAGTAATTCTGAAAATGCTCATTTTACTCTCAGGGGACTGATTTCATGATTTGCAAAGCCTGGGAAGATGCGCAGACTGAGCAGGTGTGACTGGGTATTCAGTGTTGTCACTCAGCACTTGAATAATTGTATTATTTAGGAGTTGTAGCTACCAGCAAGCCTATTCTGTGCTGCATGCCAGGTGTTACACAACCTAACAGGAAACAAATGCAGACCCATCCTGATCCCCAGATCACCCTGTGCTGCACTGGACAAGTAGAGCTGATGGCTTGAAAAAGTCCATCATTTCCTTACAAAATGTGAGTGTTTCATGTCAGTGTTTGGGAGCAGGACATTCATGGGTATGCCTTCCTGGAGGATACATTCCCATTCACAGCCTTTATGCTTCAAAGGCTTTCAAGCAGGAGCTGTCCTCTTCTTTGTATAGCACAGAGAGGAACAGGTTCCACCCTGTTATTAGGGCTTCTGAGTACTGCAGTCACAATAGTAGCTGCTAAGGAGATGTGCTCAGATACTTCTGTGAGCTAAGGGATTAAAACAATTTGAAAAAGAGTGTGGGGTGGAGTGGAATAATCTTACACCTTTGGCCCCATAAAGGAAATGATTCTTTCCATTTAAAATATCAGAGAAGTAGAATTCAGTGTTTCAACTCTTCAGTAAAGCATTTCTTCAAGTTTACTGCATGTATTACAAAGAAGACCGTCTGTACCCATCTGTGTAAGACTGTCAGTTGTTTTTGGATACTACTGTGTTCTTGCTCTGTCTTTCACCCTCTCTCCATTCCCTTCTTACTTACATATCACCCTGCTGATCACAGGAGCCGGTGCTGATTTTGTCATGCTTGGAGGGATGTTTGCAGGCCACGATCAGTGTGCTGGAGAGATTATAGAAAAGAATGGCAAGAAGGTGAAACTCTTCTATGGGATGAGCTCTGATACAGCCATGAAGAAGCATGCAGGAGGTGTTGCTGAATACAGGTAAGAATTTCTCTAGCAATTGCAAATACATAACTTTTGAAAGTGAATTCTGCAAAAGCCATGTGTTGCAAACAGGTCTGTGTTTCTGTTCCTGTTCAGGAATCCATTAGCAACGCAGCATCTGATCTCTGGGAGGGATGACATCAAAGAGGAGACAGGGAGAAGGAGCTGGGGGTGGCTAGCTGAGAGCAACCCTTTTCACTCAGTTGCAGCCAGTTCAGTGTACTTTCAAACTGGGAAGCCATTCATCACTGTTCTGACCTTTGGGTCTCTCAAGATGTGTGTGAATTACATGTGGGCACATTGCACACCAAGCTGTGGTTTCTGGCTCTCTCCTTAACCAGATTGTGTGTCCTGTTGGTGCATGGATTCCCAGCTGGCCCATATGCTTCTTTCTGCTTGCAAAAAGTGGGTGCCTGGTGAATCAGTGAAGCTCAGCTGGGATTAGCCCCAGTTTGGTGCTGTGTAACAGCTATAACAGTACCAAGAGCCCAAGCCCATCAAAGCCCTCCCAGTCACAGGCTGTAGCCACTGTACTCACACCTGGCTTTGTTGGCAGTCTTTTTACACAGCAGTACATGTTTCTCCCTCCTTCTGGGCTAAGAGAGCACCAGAGTAGCCCATTATCCGTTTCCAAAAATCATACAGCTTGTGGGAGCTTGGATTGTCAGATAAAATGTTCAGAGAGAATGCTTGGGGAAGGAAGGCAGACAGGCTTTGCAAAGGAATTTTGTCCATTGCTACTTTACTCCTGAGGCTGCTGAGAATTTTTACTTTCTGAAAAAGCAGGTGACTCCAGAAAACTCCCTCATATGTTTTCCCTTAATGGCATGTATTGCCACTGTCCTGAGACAACATCATTGTTGCATACTGTGTTAGAGAGTCTTGCATACTGTCTTACATGATGTGCTGACTGATTGAAGGTGTCACTTTGAAATCTCCTCCACTGGTGTAGATTTAGACTCTGGTCCTATCTGGTAGAGTGCTGTACATTAGGATCTCAAAGCCAGTGACTTTTACTACTGTTCCAGGCATTTAAGATGGATGAGTCTTATTGGCCCTGTCTGCTACACAACTCTCCTGGCATGCTTTTTTCCCTGATGTGTTCATCTGCTACCAGGGCAAGAGTTGCAACACCGTAAAGGTGGCAGTGCGGAATGAAAAGCAGATTGATATTGACAAAACAAAATGGAATTCATGCTTTGACACAAATGTGGGGTTGGAGCTTGATGATCCTTGAGGTCCCTTCCAACCCAAGCCATTCTATGATTCTCTGATTCTATTTGCTGCTAGATCCATGACAAAGGAGGCACGTATCAGACATAGCACCAGCTAGAGAGCATATCTGATCCCACCTTCCATCTCCCACCCCAACATTAGCTCGCATAGTTTGTCTTACATTTGTCAAGAGTTGAAATGCACCATAAAAATGTGCAGCAGTACATCCAGAACTTTACAAAATGGTAGGATACAGCCTATTCGAGCCTTTACACCACTCTCCTTTGGCCTAAAATATGAGCTTTGAAGCTGCAATAGTAATAGAGACTAAGGAGGATTACTGGTAGACATTGTGCAGGAGAGACCCAGTGACTAATAAAGTCATCAGCTTTTCTGGTCTGGCAGAAAATGCAGGCTCATTAAAATAGAATTCTATGTGAAGATGGGGAAAGAGAGAGCTTATGGGTGCTGCACTTATCTGGCAGTCTGTGCCTACTAAACAGAGCGTGGCTCAGAACTACGTTCAGAGGAAGACTTCTGAGGAGCAAAATATCAGTGGGACACAGGGAGAAGAGATGATAGAAAAGAGTTTTTTCAAGGGCAAAGAAGATTGAGATTTCTTTTGCAAGAAGATGTTTGATAAGGAGAAATACAAAATAAGCACTGTGGTTTGAGGAGAGGAGGTATATCCTGGCAGATTCTCATGCCAAGATTTTTCTCCATCTGATTGGACAATAAGGAAACAGGGATACCTTTACCTTTTGCCTGAGGAGCACTTACATTTCTTGGGTGGAGTGTACCTTTTCTTCTTGACTTGAGCCCACATACCTCTTTTCTGTGGCTCAGATCAGAACTAGAGAGCAATGTGCAAAGGATTTTCTTTATTTCGTATTGACTGTACCTGTACCAGCTTAAAAGCACCACTGCCTGCACGATACTGCTTACTCTGACAACAGCAGTGGGTTGCCTTTAGGAGCAAAGCATGTGACTGATTGTCCACCTGGTTAACCTGCAAGGCTCTTCTGGCACAGCAGGTTCAGTGTGCCTTTGCTTTCAAGCACTGCTGGCTATTTGAAGAAGGAGGAGCTCATCTGCACCTGAGACAAGCTGGAAGGATGCATTAGTGAGATGTTCTGCATATCTCCGAGCTTTGATTCACAATGGTTTCATACCCAAGTCCACAGAAGCAATCTACGTTTGTTGAATTTTTTTACCTGCAGGTAATCTGGTTGGCATCAGAGTTTCTGAAGAAATGCCTATAGTGCGTGGCACTAGTAATTATTTTATCGTGTAAAAGTTGCAGCTGCCAGTTACAAAGAGGTGCTGGTAACCTTTTATCTGAGCTGTGATAACTCATTGGCCTTTCCTGCTCTACACTTATGTCTAGCATGTGGGAATGTCCTGATGCTCTTCAGGTATATGGTTAATGGCCGCTCTCTGAGAGAACGGGGAGAAGATCAAGCATGCTGCATAGGACTCAGTGCAACAACACAGGCATTTAGTATCTGGTCACCACTGTGCTGCTGGAAGTCATAGAAGTTTGGGAAACCTTGCTGTAGCAGTGGGACAAAGAAGTAAGGCAGCTGTTAAATTCTGCTTTAGCTAGTTGTGTGTGCATGTAACCTGAAAATGAGCATGCCCAGCAGGAGAATTAACTAACAGTGGTTCCCCTTAGAAATGAGACAAAGTGCAGGCATTATGTCTTGTAAGATTAAAGGGTGTACAGAAAGGTGCTATATTTGGCTTGGTCTAGACCCCTTCAATTCCTTGTGGACAGTACTACACAAGCTCTGCTTGATCCATAGCCATATTATGTTTTGCATCCTAATATTAGAAGTCCCCTGGGGATCTAGTTCTGAAACCTCAGCAACAAGGGGAGCGGAAGTATAATCTGAAATTTTCAGTCCTTTTTGAGAAACTGCTTTTTTTGTGCCACCAATAGGTAACATAGCAGGAGTTTCCCAGTCTACTGCTAGCTACCATAGTTCCAAGCATGAAGCCTCAGCTGTTAACTGTAAGGAGATGTTCTCATCTTGTTGATGCTGCAGCCACAAAGTGAAGCTGGCTATCCATACCAGCCTTAGTCTTGGTCTTGCTTGGCCCAACCCAGCATGATGAATGTCACCGTAGATTAAAAATATCAACTATTTTTATAGTTATCCAGTACAGCAAATGCACTGGGCATGGATGGGATGATCAGAAATACAGCAGGGGTTTTCTTTCAATTACTTTTGTAGAAAAACTTACTGAAAGTTGAATTGCTTACTAGTTTAGGTCATGGCAAACTTGAAGCGAAAGGGTTCTAACTCAGCATTTTAAATGCTGGATACCTCAAACCTATCAAGTCAGTGGGACTTCTTTATGCAGGTTTTAAAAGCCCAGCTGTAAATCCCTATCAGTGACCCAAATAAGTTGTTTTGTCTTCAGAAGGACCTAAGCACTCAATGTTTTATTCAAGCAGTGCAGAACTCGTCGTGCACAGCCCCCTGCAGAATCAGACTGCTTGTCACTGAACTTCAACTTCTGAATGTTACACATTCTGGCTGGAGAACCTGAACCTCCAGTAAACAGAAATTAAAATTGATGGGTAAGGTGAGGTAGCTGTAGTGAGAATAAAGTCATGTGTGTAATTGTTTTGTAATGACTGTGTCAGGTTTAGCACATTCAATTTGCATGAAATCTTTGGATCTTGTTTCATTACCTGTCAGCCATTTAGTTATTGGTTTATTTTTACATTTTTACCTCCTTTCACAAGGCATGGATCAGAGCTGGGAATTTCTGAAAGGCACACCTATTAAGATTCTTTTTTTAGGGAGAGAGAAAATAAGGCAAGTAAGGATGGAGACCATGGTATTGTTCAGTTAGAGCCAATTTGCTTTTGTTAACCCTTCTAAGATCTTGTGTGAACACTGCAGCCCTGCTGTGGTCACTCAGCAATTCACAGCTGCTGCTGAGCTAGCTTTGGCAGTTAAACTAACTAGGGGTGGAATTTGGGCCACAGAGACAGAATAGCATCAGCATCTGGCTGCTACTTTCTTTTTGGCTGCTACCATGTGTATCTCAAATGACAGCCTGAAAGACCTGCCCCCCAGTTGCTGCCATCTCTTAAATGCTCCACTTGTGAGGCTGCCTTATGCCAGGGCAGTCTGACCCCTTTGCAGTGGTCCATGTTTTGCCAGACTGACAGAACACCATCACTCCATCACACCCTTCCTGCCAGGATCCCCATCTGTGGTGCTCATCCATCCATGCCTGCAGCAATCTTGTGCTGACTGGGAGTGAGGGCACGTACCACAGATGGGACCCATGCAAAATGTCTAAAGGAAGTTGTTCTCCCTTTCTGTTTGCTGTTCAGTGGCAAGAGACACAGAGTCTGCCAGAAGCGTCTGGGCACATCCATTCCCAGCTGCTGGGAGACCCAATTGCTCCTTCTTCACCTTTCTTTTTTGAGAAAGGGTTACTTAGTTTGACTAATTGCCAACAAACACAAACTTCTAATCAGTGATTTGGGTAATTAAGCCAACACCTAAGTTCATCCTTTTGGGACCCCTTTGACATGGAACACCTCCCTCCAAGGGTGCACCTCCAGCTGTGTATCTTCTCAGATGCATCCAGGCACATCTTCTAGAGGCTGCTGGCTCTTTCTTAAAGGCACTTGAGCAGAGATGTGGTGTGCTCCCCCAGCTCCATTATGAATGCGTTCAGCATCATCACAATCTTAATATACATCAGTTTTAAACTCCACTCTTCCTCTGTTAGCACCAGAAAGCAGAAATTAATACTGTAACAGTGCACTTTGTAAAATATCACTCTGTCCTGGGAATCGTGTTACAGGAGTTGGTGTCGGTTTGGTTCTGTATCCATCAGACTTCACACCCCTGGCCAGGCTACAGACGTGAATATTGCAGCAACATAGGCATTACATTTGGTAAAATTCCAGCCACTCTCCACGTGGCAGGATTTGTTAGCACAGTCTGAACTGTTGCCTGTTATAAACTCCACAGCTTGCCCCAACAAGACTAGAGATTAGGGTTAACAGTAACACAGCCCAAACAACAAGCTTCACCCTTCATCTCTGTGGATGAGACTAGAGGTTGATGTAACAATCTCAGTACCTACTTACTACAAACGTCATGGTTTGCTGCTGCAAAACACGTAACTCAGCCACAACAGTTTGAATAGATATCTTTTACAAAGCCCATGGCCAGATTATCAGTGTTAACACCATTATGATCTGAATGCTTCCCATGAGTATTAGGTCTTGTTCCTTCAAAACAAATCGCTAAGAACGTAACAGCAATTCAAGTTATTCACTGTGCTTTAGCGTAGAAGCAAACAATTAAGATCATACAAGCTAACATTGACACCAGTGTTGAAGGTACCAGTAGGGTCATGAGACCAGTAGCTGTAGAGCATCATCTAGCTCTGTAATTGGAGTGTCCAACATTCACAATACTGCCTTGTGGGCATCGTGGTAAGATGATGCACCAATGGGCTTAGGTCTCTTGGCCCTTGCTCTACAGGCGTAACATTTACTGAGCATAGGTTTGCACTGTCCTCAAGACCACAGATTTCTGTCCCAATTCCATCTTATAGTCCTTTTTCTTCAGAAGCATATGGAAGTCACAACATGTAGAGTGGGAGACTTTTCAGCCCTTCTTGACACTTTTTTTTTCCCTGCAAGACTGAGCATAAAATTGGACTCTCAGCATTTTCCTTAGGGCTGATCTCACACGTGTCTTCTCTGGGTTACCTCTTGATATTCTGACTGTGTTTCAGCTGATACCAGCGAGCGCTAGAAACACTGCCAAGCTATGGGAGCTTCTGGGTTGTGGTTTTAGCAGTCACCACTTCGATAATCGTTTGATCTCCAAAGCCAGAACGGGCATCTCTCAGTGATTTTGCTCTGAAAAAAAGGACCACCAAGTGCTCATAGTCCTCAGAGTAATGCTCCTGTTACTGCAGGTCTGTTTAACCACTGTGACTGAGGCTGCCTCTAAGTACTTCATTTTCCAGTCAGCTCTCTGCTTAGCAAACCCTGCAACTAATGCTTCAGACAACACCCATGCCTGAATTAACTGGGTGCTTATGCTTGAACTGACGGGGACATTCTTGCATCAATTCATTGGCACTCATGCATGCACTGAATGGGCTGTCATGTATGAGTGCAGAAAAACCTGCATTTTTTTGTCCCATCTAGCAGTAGGGCTCTTTCAGATGGCGAGATCTAGTAAATAAAATACACACTGTTTTCCCCAGGTCCCCAGCGTGCAGTCACAGTAGTTTCATGGAAAACTCCCAGGAGGCTGAGCTGAAGCTCAAGCCTCTGGCTGGAGGACGTGGGCATGGTCAAAAAACAAGTTGCAAAGCTGTAGCAAGGCCACTTTTATGTCCTTTTGTGGGCTGAGCCTTCTCATGCTGCTGGCACTAGGGCTAAAAATAAAAGCTGGTCAACTCCTGCAGCAGAGTCCCAACACACCACTGAGCCCCAGTGCAGTCTGCTAGGTAGCAGCAGTACATACGTTTTCCACTGGCCACTTATTACAGTGTTTATTTAAGAGTTTCTTGCAAGAAAGAGTCAATTACTCATCAGATGCAAGGAGATTAATCATGGTTCCTTATTCACATGGCATATTAACACTTCTCCTTTATTGTCTCCCTAGGGCTTTGACCTCACATTTAAACTAACAGAATGAAATATAGCCAGGCTCACACTCAAGTACCTCTACATAGCTGCTGGTGCTGTTAATGATTTGCAAATGGAGCCTCCAAACAGGCATGCCCTTTCTTTCAAGCACTATCCCCAAGACAACTTGTTTAAGGGAAAAGTAAATAAAGCCACATTTACAAGAATGACAGATCCTAGCCATCATTTCCAACTCTCTTGTAGGAGAGAAGAGCAGCAATCCCCTCTTCCCCTCCGCATTTCAAACTCTAATAATACTGAAGTGCCATCCAAAAAGCATTTAAAGCTGAGTCCTCAGCTGTCAATCCTCTATCTGCATGACATACAGAAATCTCAGCCGTTTCTGAGGAAGGAAACACAAGGATAAGGATTTCAGTCCAAAGTAAAGTTTGCCAGCTGTTGTCAGCTGTTAGACTCCTTCCCAAGGCCGCCTTCTCCAACTCAGACAGTTTGGTGCAGCACAAGCTTGGTCTAAAGATCAGCTTGTGATGGGGGAACTCCACTGCAGGAGGAATTGCTGCGCGTGGGAAAGCTGAGGGGGAAGAGATGAAAGTTATTTGCTTGGAATCTCTTATCTTCAGATGTGTTCTTGGGGACAGTGCAAACCTATGTTGGCACGTGCGCATACTTGATAGCGTTCACAGTGCTTTTGTTTTTTTGCTATTCTTTTTGTCTGCCTCTGAGATGTGCTAGCTCACTTCTTTGCTTCTGGGGTCAGCTGTGCTGCAGCTTTCTGTAACAGGTTTCCCACTATATCTGTGCTGGGCCTGGGGAACCGGGCCAGTAGGAGGCAGCCAGAACATTTCTGTGTCTGATCAATGGCATGGGAGAGAGCCCTGCAGAGTTCTGCTGCCCAGAACCTGCTGAGACTCAGCTCCCACATTTTCACACGGGGCCTAAGCCTAGCTGTTCCTTTAAAGCTTGACACTGCCAAGGTCAAATTTGTCTTTCAGTATTCTGGAAGCTTCACTTGGAGATAGTGCATGATGGAGCGGAGGGGAGGGCAGATCTGTAAGGACCGATACGGGATATTGAAACATACTCAAGATGTGTCCTCTTCTGGTTCATAGTATTGGTGACTGGAGTTGAAACATTTCAGTGCTTGAGAGCATCAAGGAACAACAGACAAACAAGCAATAAAGCTGAGGGAATAACAGTGAACTGTGCCACACGTTGCTTCAGTAAACACACTGTTTGTTTTGCCTCTACCCATAAATGCAGTAACCAATCTCTTCTCCAGGGCTTCAGAGGGCAGAACTGTGGAGGTACCGTACAAAGGAGATGTGGAACTCACCATCCTGGACATCCTTGGAGGGCTGCGCTCCACCTGCACCTACGTGGGAGCTGCCAAACTCAAGGAACTGAGCAGGAGAACAACATTCATCCGGGTCACCCAGCAGCACAGCCAGGTCTTCTCATAGCCCAGGACGGGGGGACTGGAGAGAGATGGGAGGAGAAGAGCAGGAAAGGTTGCTGGTCTGTTTTGATTTCTCCTCCACATTGCATTAGTGGCAAACTCCTCTCTCTATGAATGGCAGTCTCATAGCCTTTGGTGGCTTGGATTTGGAAGGGGAAGGCTGTACTGTTAACACAGTGCCATTGGTTCAAAATGCAATAGCCTCATCTTTTACTGTGCCTGATTTATTTTTTAATCAACATTTCTTCGTCTGTTCTTTCTCCTCTGATAAATAGTCGCTGAAACCTCAGTTAGCAAGGAATTGGCTTGTACAGACATGGCTGTTGCACCTGCACACATTCACATATTCCCTCTGTTAAGACTGACCTGTCAGCTACCATTGCTTCTGACAGTGCACCCTCCAGAGAAAAAGCTACAAGGAATTGAGTGGAGAAATCAAAAATCAAATTGTCTTCACCTTTCCTCTGGCAGAATGTTGGATGCTTGTGGCAGGGCTGCCAGCCTGCAGGATGTCAGAGGTGGGTGAGGCTTGGCTACCGTTGGCTTCTTGCTGTGATGATAAAAATGCCAGATCTCTTTCACTCTCTGTTCACAGGGCCATTTTTACTGCCATTTTTACTGAAACCTCTCCATGGACCAGCCTCTGCAGAGAAGCTGGCACTGAGTGTAGCAACCCCATGCTGTCTTGCCTGCCCCTGTCTGTGGAGATCATTCAGGAGAGAACATCTCAGAGCTTGCCTGCTTTACGTGCATGCAGTAATTGCGTTGTGTGGGTTGCTGCTTTCCCCTGTGCTCTGTGATCAGATTTTTAAGACATAGAAACTCAGCAACAGTAAACTCACCGAGGGGAGGTTTCTCCACAGCCCTCCCTGCTCCCATTTAAGTTTTCTGCATTCATGTCCGTTTAGCAGAGATGTGAAAATGTTGTGCTGTGCATTGCCTGTGGCCAGGAGAACAAGGTCCAATGGAGGAATCAAATTCACTCTTAGCTACTTGGTACCACTCCTTTGCAATCCTTGACAATGTGAAAAGCAAAAAGGAGCTTTCAGCAGAGGTGCCTGATTGCAGGACACTGGTAGGCCAAGATTGAATTAAAGCATTTGTTCTAAAGGCAGTAATGAATGTTTAAGGCTCTGGATAACACTTTATGGCCCACTAATTAATTGATAAATCACAGTGAAATTTCTTTGGAAATACACATTGCATCCACATGAATACCACAGTAGCTCGTTATGATAAATGATGTAAAAGTGAACAGCAATGAATTAATAATGCTTGGCCACTTACTTTGAAGTGCTGCTGAGATCATAATGCAGCTGTTGTTACCTCAGTACTTCAGAGCCTTACTTTTCCCTCCTGCAGGTATCTGTGGAAAGAGGCAGGCTTCCTTTGAAAAGCAAATGAGTGATCTGTAGGAAGAGGAATAGCAAAGAGAATCTCCAGAATTTGGTTCATTTGAGGGACTTCTCAAAAAGCCATGCACGAGTATTGGTACCACTGGCCATTGTGAGAGCATATCTAGGCCACAAACTGATGCCCAGTGAGTTTTAAGTCTGTTGTGCACATTAGGAAAGGCTCAGTAGATCTTCTAAAAGGCCTATTTTAAACGTCTTCCATTAAACATGTAGGACTAATTCTTAATTGTGATATGACCCGTTCATTTATTTTGGAGATGAATAAGGGCCTTCGTGTGAGCACAGGTTACACCCATGCTGAGTTTGAGAACCATCTTTCCTGCTGGATCTCATACAGGAATCTGAATGTAGAAGAGATGCAGACCCTATGGTAAAGGGTTTGATCTCTGCTCCCTCAAGTCTCCCTGACTGCGTCCTGTTTAGAAGATGCCCAATTTCTTTATCACAAATCCTGCTCTCACCCTCACTAAGCCCGGAGTACAGGCAGCGTTACTCTGTGTGCATCAGTACAACTGTAGGAGGTCACCATTCCTTTATGTACATGACATGAAGTGTAGGGTGTAAAGGCAAATGAACACCCCTGTGAGGAGCAGGATTAGACCACGTCAGGCTGTCACGTTGCAGGCCTGCCCACAGATGTGTCTCTGCACTCGTGCCTTCATACGTGGGACATGCAGCAGTGTGCTGGTCTCATGCCTACACTCACTATTGCTTTTCTACTTTTTTTTTAGCTACATTTCTAAACGAAAGTTGAGAAATACATAGACACAAAGGATATATATATTTGTAAACATTTTTCTAAAAAGATCAGAGCACTGAACAGAGCAGCTTTGTGACATCTCTGTCAAACAGTTTCTTTTTCCAAAGGACCAGTGCTGGGGTAATGGGGGGCTGCTTCCTGGGCAGGCTGTGTGCTTAGCACAGCCACGTGCACCTTTCTCTGACCAGTGCCAATAGGAAAAGGTGAGAGTAGATTGGTATTAAGAGGTGTTCCCAGTTCTCCAGTGACACTGACAGTATGAGTGATGACTGGTAAAGCATGGACTTAAGGTATTTGGTTTTCTGAATAGCAGCTGTTGCCATCATTTTGAGAAGCAGTTCCTGTTCGTTTTCTCCTTGTGTCTCCAGAGAGAGCTGCAGAAAAGCTGAACCTATGGCATGGCTGTCTCTCCCCCAGAAGTACATATTACTTTCGTTCAGAGGCTGTGCTCCCCCAAATCAGCCCACCCTGCATATGGAACAAAGACAAGGTGGAGCCCTCATTTAGCACCCAGCCCTGTGCCTCCTCATTTGCCCTTGTATTCTCGCAGCCCCAGGTACTGTGCCCTGCACAAACCCACAGCCACTTTGGCAAGGAACTGGGGTGTGCTGTGCCTGGTGGGATGGTCCAGGCCAAGACCACAAAATGCCATGTGCCATTTGCAGATCTACCTCACCTGCATATTTTACCTGGTTTTCTGTTACTTGTTGCCCTTCTGTGGAACATCTGTACCATTTTTTAACTGCTTACTGTTGGGTGATTCTGCTTGACCTGGTCTTCTTTAACCCTGCCACCTCAGCCCCATGCTGTCTCCCCACTAGAGCAACATGGGAGATGAGCAGCACTGTAGGCCAAGTCACACCTGCTTTCCCCAGCCAGAGAATTGCTAAGCTGAGCACACAAGAGCAGTGCTGAGGTGTGGCTCCACTGGCTCCACAGTGATTGAATTGGGTACACCAAAATTTGTAAACAGAGATGAAAAAGGCCACGTTACACCATTCAGACAAGGCTGGCAGTATTCTGCCAGATGCAGAGCAAGCCACGTGGGCTCTTGTTTCTGAAAGAAATGAGTGCGTGCGCTCAGCAGGCACTTGGCTCCCTCTTGGGCCATGCTCTTCGGTGCATCTTTCTTCTCTCCTCAGGGCATGGAGTTGAATGTAGGATGTGGGGGACCCTGCAAGTGTGAGGAGTTGGGCAGGAGGAGCCTCTGCTTACTTTTGGAGGAGCGTTTCTCATGCAAGTGTGACTGCATCTTCCTTTCTGCCAGTCAGTTGCCAGGGAGAAGGGACTGGGGGAGAGCAAGAACCAGGGCAGCAATTAGCCAGACCTCAGTGTGCTGGGATGGGATTTTTCAGACCTGGTCACTTTGAGAGTCAAAGCCTAGAAAAGGTTCACTCCCTTTGCTTCATTTGGGGTCTTTTCAGATGCCCTCTCTAGCATTGACTCCTTGTGTACTGTTGTTGAAGTTCTCACACGTAAATAAATAGTCTAGAACTCCTCGGCGTTGCCTGCGGCAGCTGTAAAAAGCTTCTATGTGATCAGCCACGCAGAGTTGCTCGGCCTTAGCCATTTCCCCGGCCCACGCCGCACTGCTGAGATGCTGATGGCACATCTGCCCTGCCTGCAGCCAGCCCGTGCCCGCGATGCCTGCAGCGCCAGGGGCACAGTCAAGTATCGCCTTTGGAAACTGTCCGTGGCAAGTTTTGTTATGCAATAAAGAGCTTCACTCCAAAAGTCTGAGAAGGTTTTATGCCGTGCGCGGTGCATTCCTTGGGGGGGGGGAAAGGAAACGGGGCAGAGGGCTTTCAGAGGAGTGCGATGCCACACTCAGCTGCTGCTCATAAAGACGAAGCACGCGTTTGCAATTGGCACTGTTATTTTATTAGTACGAGTATACTGAAACAATAAACTTGTACTGGTATACAGACAATTTATTTAAAACAATTTTGTTCAAATTTTGAATCAAACATTGTTTTATTATAATAATGAAATAATTTCTACCTAGAAAACCTGCAAGCACCATCAAAGAAAGGGACCATAAAATTCAATAAACAGACGCGAGTGTATCCTACAAATAGACACACCACCATTAGAAAATAGAATATGAATTCTTCCATTTTTTTTTTTAATATTTGTTTTAAAAAAGCTAGTGCAAGTACAATATTTTACACTGGAATTACAGAGAGTATGCACGCATATGGAAAAAAGTTCTCCTGTCACAATAAAAGCTCTTAACTATGTCTGTATGCACTTAAAATCTTCTCCTCTTTTCAATAAGGTGCAAAACGTTATTCCCTCCCTATTTCTCCTTTGTACTGGCCATGTCAGCTCGATTTCTCCCCACCACAAAGCTGCGATGTCCCTTTTACTGGGCCTACGCTAGGAACTACGCTGGAAGTGTGATTTGCAACAACCCTCATGAGTAATACCAAATGAGAAGAAAAAAAACCAAACGAACAAAAACAAAGGACCTCAGAAATGCTGAAGAATGGCAGACCCTCACCCGGCAAGGCCCCTGGCCGAGCGCCTTTGCAGCCGGCCCCAGCCCCCCGGCTGCCAGCACGGTGACATAGCTAGTACAAAACGGTTTTCAGTAGCTCACCCGAACTGAAAAAGGTTGGGAAACCCCTGCCTGTAACCCTGCCCCCACCCCCCTCTTTTTAACACTGCAAAAAGAACAGTGTTCAACAAGTTAATATATTATTCAAAAAAAAAAAAAAAAAAGAGCAAATAGATAACATTAGTGAGTTTCAACATTAGCTGACTGTCGTGAGAGGTTGTATGTACGCCCTAACAGATTAGTAACTTTGCGAAGAGGCCGGCCCAATGGCCAGGCAGAGATGCCAATGTAGCCACCTGCAGCTGCCCTCAGCCCATGCTCACGCTCAGCTCCCAGACCCACCCGCCGGCTCAGACAGTTCTGCAGACCGCTTTTGTAGGGAGAGCAATGGGTCCTCGGCTCTTTCAGCAAAGCCCCGGGGGATCCCCGCCTCGGCTGACATCGCGAGGCCGTGGGTCCGGCCCTGGGGTTTTTGCATGTCAGCAACCCAGCAGTACAGCAATGACAGCTCAACGCGTGACTTAACGCCTGCTGCACACAGCGCTTCCAATGCATGCCTACTGCATGGGCGAGGGGAAGGGTGCAGGAGCTTTGACTGCTCGAAACAGAAGCAAACGAAAAAAAAAACCAACCTTGGTGAAGCCTCCGTAAAATCCTCAGTGGAAGACTTGAGTCCTTTCAGATAACGACAAGAAAAAAAAAACACAAAACTACAGAAACCTTAGAGACTGTTATTGTATAAATACTACCTATTGGCTGAATGCACTTCATTGTAACGCAACTGGGGCCGTTCCTCCTGGTTCGGGGACACCTGGGCACAGCGGTCACCGCCTTGCAGGGGATGGGGGCGCTCTGGGACGCCGCCCCACCGCCGGCCGCCAGCTGCCCAGCTCAATCTTTGGACTAGAAAGAGACCCTCTCCTCAAAAATGGCTCCAGGATTCTCTCCTTTGGGCTTCTGGAAAACAAACACCGGTCTCTTAAGCAACCGAGATCATCACTGGAAACCTGTCTGGTGTGTCTGCTCCCGGCAGCGGGGAGAGGGGGCAGTGGAAGGGGCCCAAAGGCCACGTGGCCTCGGGCACAGCCCTGCTGCTGGTACTGGGCTAGGATCCCTTGTTATAAACACTTCTTGCTCAGGATTATACTCTTTGGGTTTCGTCTGGAACAGGAAGTGCTGAAAAGAAGTGGAACAGCATCCCAGAGAGAGGAAAAAACGGGAGCGAGAGGCTTCGGGCGGGATCCCCGAGGGCATCGCCAGGCCTCCCCCAAACCAGCCCTGTCCCTCGGTGCAGGCAGGAGGGACCGCGAGCCAAATCCCACAGCAGAGCCACCCTCCGAAGTGCCCGGCAGCCGCACTCGAGAACTGCTGCTCCAAGGTGTGTTTTCAGCACAGGAATAAACAGTGTGAAGCACGACTCCGCTCCCCAGAAACGGGACCCATGTAGTACGAACAGAAAATTAAGCATAGTTGTTCTTTAAGAGCCTTTTAAGTAATAATTCTTCCTGGCCAAAGCCAATACAAATCAGATCATCTAGACATGACAATTTCTATATACAAAAAACATGTAACTTTCAACCTTTCTCTGCTTTTGTATTTAAAAACTTTTTTTTTTTTTTTTTTTTACAAACAAGGTATGAAACTCACTGTTCAAACAGAGCCATCTCTTTTTCAAACACTGAATGAATCATTCCAACATTCATTTTTCTTTTGTGCAATTTTTAAAACATTACCTGTACTCCTCAATGTGAGTGCTTCAAAAAAAGTTTCTATTTTTAATAAGCTTCTCAAATTAGGTTTACATCAAAAAATATTCCCACAAGATATAGTGCTACAAGAAAAGATCCTATCAGTAAAGGTAACACATCTGAAGCGAGGTCGTCTATGTAAAAGAAATTGTACTCTGGAGTAGAGATGTGCAACTCGTTTGGAATTTCCCTATTGACACAAACACCAAACTGTCCTTGGGACAGGAAAACAAGTGGACGTGTAGGCTTATGGAATTCACACGGATTGATTCATGTGCAAACCAACGCTTCTGTCTGGCTGTGGGTACACATATGCAGATCTGCACTGACCAATCCTCATTTTTCTGTGTATTTTTGGGACTTCGGAGGGGCCAGGCGGGTAAACCAGGAAAGGAAATGGCTGACTGCACTCTGGAGATGTTTACCCCTCTGCTCTCACATCAGCACCGGCCAGAGAGCGCTGAGCAGGCTCTGCTGGTACCTGTGGTGACGGGGAGGGAAGAGAAGTAAACCAGCTGTCCGAGTGCATGTCCCATTTCACCGCATGGAGCCCCTGGGCTGACCTCTCCGTCAGTGTGTGTCCGAGTGCCAGCAGGGCCAGGGCCCAGGCGCTGTGCCGAGAGCCCCTCTCTGAAGTAACACTATTAGTGTTTAAAACGGAGAGGATCCGCTCTCCTCGCTTTTGTTTTTAGCAGTATCAAGCCTGAAGCGAATTTCACCGTTTCTATTTTAATATTGGCAACACGCTTAAAGTGAAACAAATCTCTGCACGGAGTGAATTTTCATGATAACCAACAGCGACAGTTCGCGCTGAGCCTGCTGCTTTTGTATTGCGATATCTACAAAGTCAAAGTCATGAGATGCGGGAAATCCAAACTCGTCGGTGACGTTGTACGTCCCTACTCCAGAGCAGTAAAAGTGCTGCTTCTGGTCACATCAGTGTACCACACATATGCCAGCCCCATCCCTGAGTAAAAGGTGTGAAAAATTTCTAAATGTTCCTTGATTGAGGGAAACGAGAGCAGTGATGTCACTTCCCCAGCGCTGAGAAAATGACAAACAGCGGCCGAAGAACGCGACAGCGGGACGAGGGACCTGAAGGAGTCAGAGGAGCGTCCCCGTCCCGACGTCGGGTTCGTCGGGGGAAAAATCCCAACAGCGACATACAAAACTGTGAAGCAGGTCAACAGCAACGCCAATTCGGGCTTCAGCTGTAGGACTTGAGGTAAGTGACATCAAACTCAAATTCCCCGCGATGTGGCCCAGACAAACTGAAACAATGCCTAAGTTAAACACTATAAGGAACAGTCGTTTTATATATAGAGATATATAGATAGATTAGATAGATAGATAGATAGATAGATAGACAGATAGATATTTTTAGAAATCCCTATAAAGAGGTTCTCGTTTTATTTTCTTTGCCCTGACTAATTTCTCGGTGATTGTATGCATTTCATTGTAAACTAAACAGGCCTGCTACAAAAAGGAGGAGAAGAAAAGAAAAAAGAGACCCAAAGAAAAAGACAACCACTGCAGCCCGTGCCGCGGGCGCGAGGCCGGAGCCGGAGGCACCCCACAGCTGGGAGCAGGGTCTCATGTGCGCAAAATCCCCTTTCCCCTCCCCTCCCTGCCCCCCCCAAAATAACAACCCCCAAACTCCTCTCTCGGTGGTTGTGGGGTGAGCTTGGGTTCAGCTTTTCTTCCTGGATCTTTTTTTTTTTTCCCGTTACACTGCGGAGGCCAGAGGCATGCATTTCAAACACACGGGGCTGCGGCAGGCCCGTGATTCACTCCACGCACACTGAACACAAAAGGGGTCGCTGAGCCCTGGGTGCAGGGACACCCGGCCCTCGATTCGCTGCTTTCTAGGGGGAGGGAGTTATTAGCAGGAAAAGAAGGAAGGAAGGAAGGAACTATTCCAAGAGAACAGAAAGGGGAAACCAGAAGAGGGTATGAGACCTAGCTAACACCACACAGGTGAGTCTACGTTGGCACGTAAAGTATTGCACATCCTACAAAAGCCAAAGCACGGAAAGGGACAGCTGTTTGGAAAGAACCAGTTATTTCAGAATTCCTCAGTCTGAAACACAAGCACAGAACTAATACATTCCTATTGCTCCAAACTTCATTTTTTTTATTAGTTTTCTGTTTTTTTTTTTAGTGTTTGTTGAATAGATCCAGTCAGTTCAATAGCCCCCCGCTTCCTCATCGACCACAATCGTGAATGCGCGTGGTTCTCGTGGAGATTTTTTCCCAGTACGTGTGAATGACAGAAATAGTGGTACGGATGCCAAGTAACATCTGCAATTCTTTCTATTCCTTTACCATCGAAGCTCAAAAACGAAACAGGAAACGAAACGAAACAATAAATTGCAAGTGCCCTGAGCAGAGTATATGGAAGATTAAGCAACTTCTCTGAGCAGAAATATTACTAAGAAGCACTACCTAAGCTGCGTGACTGTGAGAAGAAACCCGCTCAGCTGTTTGTAGCCCGCTGAGAGGTTAATAAAATTCAAGGAAATTCAAGAATAGTTTCAAGCTATTTTAAACATATTTCAACTTTTTGGTGCACCCCAGAATATGGTATAAAAACAATGAGTTCTGGTGTGAGCTAAATTTCAAGTAACACATAACAGAGTCAAAGCTCGGGTTTGGGGTTAATCTTTCTTTTCTTAAATAAAAGCATTGCATTTTAGGGGAGAGGGAAAACGAGATTTTAAATAGGCTCGTTTGCTTTAGATACTGTATTTCTAATATCCAGAACTTTGATTTCCTTTCCTCCCCATCAGTACGGCTTCTTTACAACTACCTGAAGGCGGGAACTCACCAACTGAAGAAATGATGTGAATGCTCAACCTTGCAGGGCCCAAGCCAGACCCCGCAGGAAGCAGTGGGGTCCTCCCTCCGTTGGCCCCAGGCGCCAAGCATCTCGTGTGAGCGGCTGGCTGTGCAGCCCTAACGGGGAGCTGAGCAGCTCCTTCTGTACCAAACTCCTGAATCTAGTCGTCCGAATGGGAAATGAGGCAATGAAAAGAACAAAAGATCGTAAGAGGAAAAATAACATTCGGCTTGTTTTTTTTTGTTTTTTTTATAAAAAAAAAAAACAACAAACAAACGCCTTGCTTACGTATAGAAATGTTTCTCATGGAAACCTCTCAGCAAGTCTGAAGACAAATTCTCAGAGCTGTCCCGGTAGGACCTGGTTCTGTGTGGCAGATATGGCGGAGACCAAAATGGACTGGGAAAGGAACGAAACCCTATGAAACGGCCTAGAGCCAGGCAGGTTAGTGAGTCATTGCTACATTTGTTTATGCTCTTTCAGACACCCTCCCCCCCACCCCACAACATTATTAGGTAAAAACTGCAGGAATACCACACAAATGATAAACTCAAGATGTGCAAATTGCAAGATTCTTTAAAGTCCATCTTTTTCAAAAACACTGGACAAAGATTTTTTTTTTCTCTTTCCTTTCTCCTCTCTCTTATTTGTTTATTATCTGTCAGCTCGCATACGCCTTTAACTCATTCTCAAGCATTAAAGTTTAAAAAGTGCCTCCTATTAAGTAGTCCTTTGTGGACAATGACTGTCACATACTAGTTCAATAATTCACATTCATCCCTTTGAAACCACATGGAAACTTTCAGCGCCTTGCCTGTGAGAAAACTTTTCAGAGTCGCGTGTAGTTACAGTGTTGAAGAGATTCGTTTGTTTGCTGCTGCTGCCCTCCGAGCAGATCAAAGTGAGATACAGTACGCACTGAGCGTTAGACCAGGATGCTCAGCCATAAAGTGTGAACAGCATTTTAAGTGCTTAAAGACATTCTACGTTCCTCTTCAACATCGGGTTCCTGTGTCACACTGAAACTTGAAAAAAGTGGCACCGGTTGTCCATAATCATGAACCAAAAACAGTACTATAGAGTTAAAGACCGAGATCTGCAACCTAACTGCAAACGACGTGTGCCTGTGATCTCAAAGGGGCAGTATGCATCTCCCTCGTGGAAGCAAATGTCCATGGCATAACCTGACCGATGCGTCTAACACTGCACAGAAACAGGAGCGAGCCTGAGCCGGGCACATCGCCCAGCCTGAGGCTCCCTGCACCCACACACACCTGCGCACACTCACACACAGCCACGCCACCAGGCAGCCCTGCAGGGTGAATGGTGCAGAACAGCCACCCCGTGTGTGTGTGTGTGTGTGTGTGTGCATGGCCTCTGGCAACGAACTGCACGAGCAAGCAGAAGGAAATGTTGGTGTGGCAGTTGCTTCGCGAGTAAAAATCAGTGCAGTCGGACCCCATGGGGGAAATATATATGTACAGATACACACACACACACAAATATATATATATACATATATATATATACATGCACATATATGTGTACATATATATACTATGAATCTTGAGTAAGAGTTGGCTTATTGTTGACAAGGTCAGAGAGCATCTGATCCTTTTTGGTAACATCTGTGGGGCTGTGTCCTCCACATTCACCCGGGGTGAGAACAACCTCCTCAATGAGCCCCCACTGCTGCAGGGCTGCCTCAGGCTGAGCACGCACACCACGCGTGACACACGCCTCTGCTACAGTTCCCTTCTCTGCACCTCCCCCCCAAAAAAACTGGAACAGGAACCAAAACAAGGGAAAAAAAAAACAAAAAAACAAAAACAAAAAACAACAACAAAAAAAACCCCAACAGAATCACAGCTGGACCCTGTCCTACACGAGGTGTTAGAAAACAGGAGCCATGACAACACATTCATTTCCACTAAGGGTGTGTGAAGCAGATACTGCCCCTTCTGTAGCTCTCAGGAAACCTAGTCACTGACAAACACTTGTGGAAAAACATATGCACCAGTCTCCTGCATAATACCAGCTGCAACTATAACAACAAGGTTATAACATAAACCTAAAATAAGATGATAACATGTAAATACTGGGTTATTTAGTCTACAGTACAGTAATCTGGATAAAAATGACAAGGGATAGCCTAATTTCCTTTCCCCAAACAACATTTACTTTCCTACATTGGATCGACCTTCAATGCAAATCTTAACCTCCTGAGGAATAAAAGAAGGCTTGGGAAGAGTCAAAGGTGGCTCCTCTTCTGATTTCTCTAGTTTCCGTGATTCGGGGGCTGACCACCTTCTCTTCCTTGTTGCCGGGGGCTTGCTGGGTTCTGTTTTGGTGAGCAAAGGTGCTGCAGGCAATCCTATTTTGTCCGGAAACTTCAGTTCACCGTTCTCAGCTAACATCTGTGCACTTCCCTGATTAATCCCATTTTCCTGCTCCGCATACCTGTGTCTACTTCCAGCTAGACTGTCATTCTTTGAATGCTTCAGCAAGATGCTAGCTGAGTCCACGGGCTGGCCCTTTTTAATAGAGCCATTCTTCAGGTTCTTGAGCGTAAGCGATATGCAGACGTCCCCCACTGAGAGTTTGGAGCATGGCAAATCAAAGAGCTGGCTGGTTCTCTCGGGGCAGCAGGATGACCAGCCTTGTCCAAATACAAAAAAAGGGTATTCTACCAAGACCTCCACGCTGACCTGCAGAAAGAGAGGAGACAGCAGAGAGAGAGGGAGAGAGGAGAGAGTGTCAGACGGGCCCTTTGCCTTGGTGCACATGCGCAGCGGCCAGCAGTTGTCACTGGTGAGAGTCAAGCAGGGATTGTGCCGCTGCCATTTGGTTTCTGTGAAATCTGCACATGGCGCACCAGACTTCAGGCTTGTCCTTGTCAGATGGGTGTTAACTCTCTGACGGGTGTTGACTCCCTGAGTTCAGCACTTAACACAAAACCTCAACAGGAATCGATCTTTACCTCTATCCAGCTGCTCACAGGAACCCAGCAGGCAAAACAGCTTTGGCAGCTAACAAATTCTGCTCCCTGCCGTGCCCTCGTGGTACCTCAGCCTCTAGCCCATGCTTGCCAATACGTTCCAGCCAGAGGATGGCTCCCTTAGCTGGAAGAGGCTCTATTCCCAGCTCCAACATGTGATTCCCTAAATGACCACGGGAATGTCACCTCTCCTTCTTGGCCTCTGCCCACGCAGCTGCGTGCTTACCAACATGAAATGGCTGAAGATGTTGATTTACAAAGAAAGGCCACAGGTGTGCGCAGAGCTGTGTCTGTAGCAGCAGTGATTATTACCTATGAAAAGCATCTTTCTTGATTTCACTGCTCAGCCCAGCCCTGTCAGTTCCCACTTCACCCCACTTTCAAAACATGCATGGCTCTGGGTCACACCTCATCACCATACAGGCAGCTGCGATATCCAGGAGAGCAGACCAGCAGCAGGTGCCTGCCACTCCATGACCCTGCTCACAGTGGATCATAGGGCTAACATGATACAGCACCCAAATACCCTCTGATCTTTGTGCCATGCCCGTCCGTGGGCTCAGACGGTGGATGTGGGCTCCTCTGACTCATGGCCTACAGGACAGAGCCTAATGCATCCCGAGGGCTCCTGGTTAGCAGCACCCGGTAGCTCTGCTCCCCTCCCCACTGGTGCCGCTCCCCCAGAAGCACCCGGCCTGCAAACAGGACCCCAGGCAGCTCCCTGTGCACCTCATCTGATGGATCATCACCGCCCTTGGCAGGAGGGCTGGATGTGGGATGTCCCATAGAGCAGAACCATCAGATCATGAAAGTCAAACATTTCTCGTGGCTTTTGACTGATTAAACCCACACTCTGCCCTAGCAGACAACTACAATTCATGAGACAGGTCATTCCATGATGGAAAAAAAAAACAAAAAACCCTTTAAAAAAATCTATAAATATATGCTACAATCTTATATGACCGGGCCAATCGATCAATAGTCTTGATGCTCCACCTGTCCAATATAGAAACATCTGCCCCAAGTTTGAGATCCTATTCCAAAGACATCTCTTCTGGATTTAAATGGAACCCACTGTCCAAACAGAGCTGTAGCTTTTCCTAATGAATGCAGATTTCTCATTTACTTGCTATAGTTTTTCTCTTCCTCTTCTCCTTCCTGTTTGCTATATACTTTTTTTCCTTTCTATACTTTCCCCACCCCATCAAAAGCAATGTGTATTATGGGTATCATCCATGCCTTACATGCATACTGAGTGCATTACATTCAGTAACACACAAGTTCCTCTTGATGTGAACATGCTTTCACAGCTTGCAGTGCTTCTGTTTTACATGGCATATAAAACACGCGCCTGAACTGTGAGTCCCAGAAACAAACAGCCACTTTGATGGTGGTGATCATGAACAATGCTAAATAATAAAGATGATGACCAATGCCAGAATCTCCATGACCCAGTCATAGTGCTCATGGGCATCTATTGATCTGGAATGTGTTTCCTCATTCGCTATTAAGCACTGTTCTAGCTAGCTGGATGTGGCTCTGGGCAGCCTGGTCTGGTGGTTGGCGGCCCTGCACGTAGCAGGGAGGTTGAAATGAGATGATCATTGTGGTCCTTTTCAATCCAGGCCATTCTATGATGCTATGATTTGATTCTAGCTATGTGTGGATTCTGCTCAACTGACTTCTAACATCACCATTCTCTGCTAGTGATAGTAGTCAAAGAACTTTAAGTGTGAAAGTTCAGAAGAAACACCTCCCCCATCATTCTCTCCTGGCACGAGGGAAGTTAATTCCAAAAGCTTCTTCTCCTGACATCCTGACATCGTTATTATAAGGGACAAAGAAATTTGGAATTCCTTTCTGTGCCTTTCTGGCTACTAAGACAATAAAGCAAGAAACCAAAACACCGGCCCCTCTTCAAGCACCCGGGGCTCTGCTGTCAAGTTACTTTTCCCAATGACCAGTGAGAGCACCCAAAACTTTTCAGCGCGTTCAATGAATATCTCACTTTCCTATGCCCCCTTATTGCATGATGCCTTGGCCACACTCAGCTGATGGAGAGCACTTCAGACTGCTCAGGAAGCAAAGGCTGGAGCTGGAGCACCGCTGACACATGGAGCGCAGGAGGAGCTGGTGCACAGGGAATAACATTCCCACTCTTCAGATACAGTGTCTTCACAGAAGAACACGGAAATTTGCATTGCAGGGCCCACTGCAGCAACCATTGAGACAAGTGCTAAAGCAAAGGGTGCCCAGTAGAAGTAAGGATTTGGACGTTCCCATGTCCAGGAACACAACACAAAGATCACATAAGGGAGGAGTGGGAGAGACCTCCACCTGGCAGTGAACAGGCCAGCATTTCTGTTTCTGTGCCTGTGTCTGTGCCAAAGGTAAAGAAAAGGAGAGAGATGGGCGAAAGAGAAAGTGAATGGTTTGTGTGTGCAGAGATATTTAAGGGAAACTGGATGTCAGTCTAAAAAAGGTGCACCAAACTGACACCTCTAACTAGAGGTGGGCTTCTTCACCTCTTACCTCTATTATTCTGTTTTTGAAAGAAAAGCTAAGTTAAGACCCAAATGCTCATCTTTTCTTCTGAGGTTGTACTTTAGAAACGATTAGGAGCTGAAGCTCAGGGATGAAAGTGAGCATTTCAGAGAACAACTTCTACATCTCCAGTGTGTTGTAACCTTAACACAAATGGACGTGCATTGCTGCCTTCTGCTTGTTCCTTGCAGCAAAAGAGAGGACAGGTAACGAGCACGTATGTGTCACTGTAACAGTAAGATGTGGCATTACAAAGAGATGCAGATCCACAGCGCTTTTTTAGGCAACGCAAATCCAAGGGGAATAACAGCTGGACTTTGGGTTCTCATCCATTTGGTACTTGCTTCACTTCTCATTCATCCGCAGCAGGGATGCTGTGAAGTGGAAACATCACATTTCTCAGGGCTAAGGACAGCTGTTTCACTGAAGAAGCATGTGGGTTTAGGTGGGTTCATTCTCTTCTGCTCTTCCACACCTGGCAGAGGATGGGAACAGCAAGGCGCCCGGCGGAGGGGGAGTGGGAGGATGGCCTCCTTCTGCCCTAGCCCTTTGCTAGGAAGGAGCAGCGGTGATGTGTTACAATAGCAACTGCATGCTGCCTCCCTGTGTGCGTGAGAGTTGTATACGCTCAGCTAAAAATAACCTCCTACTGCTGTCCCTCAGTCAGGGTGGAAATTAGCTCATGTTTGCATCGAGTCTGAAAAGATGAGTTCATCAGCATTCTGATGGCTTCCCAGAGATTGCTGGGAGGAGTATTTAAATGAACGGAAGCTAATGGTAGCAAGGCTATTTTTGTACGACACTTAGTCGTTACAACTCACGTCCCCCTGATAACACCATTCTAAAAGGTCCCTCTTTACAGAAGTATATCTGCAAGAGAAACTGACTTTAATAAAGTATGTTGGGAGCTGAACTACGCATGCACTGCATTCTCACTGCACTTGGGAATCAACACGGATCTGAGCGCAGCAGCACCACAGAGCCACTGCCCTGAGCAGCCAGACTGAACAGCCTTTTTTCAATGGGAAGGAGACTAAGCCCTCCTCACACGAGCAATTCTCTAACGTGTAATGAGTGCCACATGCCTGCTAATAAGGCTAAATTCCTTCCTACAGCCACGCTAGGCTGAGGGCAAGGTCACAAATGTAGAAACACTTCCCCCTCTCCAGCCAGGCATGGGAAAACCTGCACGGCTGTCCCTGTGTGCGGGGACACGGCTGATCTGGGAAGGGACCCAAGCCCTGGGATCTGCAGGAAACCGAAATTAAACCCTCACGCTAATGATATCTCTGCGTGACTCTCCCTCGCTTCAGTTCTGGAAGCATCCCCCGTGGGAAACACAGCTGGGGAGTATTTCAGCTGCGATGATGTCAGCCTGCTTCTGATAGGCTTCTGGATAAGGTGACACTTTGCTGGATGAGCCCGGCGCGCGCGTCTGTGCAGCCTCGGACCCAGCATGCATTCTGCCAGAGGATGGCAGTCCGCCCTCTGCAAAGGACTGCACCGTGCCAGCACATCCACCAGCCCATCACACACAACGCTACCTGCTGGCGCACAGACCAGGCTCTGCTGCAGAGAGAGAAATGAGAGCGAGGTGACCACTGCGGAGGGCAGACCGCTGCTTCTGAAATCTCACCACTCAAGGCACCGGGGCAAATCATAGGAACTGGTTCTGATCCAAGGACAGGCTCCTACTGATGGGGCCTGCGGTATGCAGCTCTCACTGAGAGAACCACGATACGGCTCGGAGGTGAAAAACAATCAGTCCTTATCCCGAAGGCATCCAAGGCCCTAAGCTGATCTTTCTATCAGGCCAGTGGGTGATGCACACACATCTAGAGACAAAATACATGGGGAATCTGCACAACTGACATGACGCATGGCTGTGTCACATGCATTGGTTCCCCCATCATCTGTGTAGTTTGGATAAGGACATTAAGGATATTGGACAAGGACACTGACTTGGAGTTGGACTCGACGATCATTGTGAGTCCCTTCCAACTCAGGCTGTTCTGTGATTCTACGAGAATAAGAATTCTGTGTGCGTGCTTTAATCCTCAGAATCAGATCTCTTTGCTTTTCATGCTCCAAACTGTTAGTCACAGGTGCTTTCCTGCATCCCCTTCCAGTTCCCCTCTCCCTCTGGGCATCCACCTCTGAGGATGCAGCATCAGGGTGCTGCCCTTTGTAGCACTTGTGTTCCAAACCAAACCCAAAACACTTGAAACAAAGTTACTTTAAACGAGCATCTCTAGGGATCATAATACTCCTTACATCAAATCTGCCCCAGCCTCAATAGAACAGCACCTCAATTGCTCAGAAAACGAACAGTATTAAGATACTGCTTTATGATCAGTTACCATCTTAATGTAAGAGTCACTTTGGAAAGTTACAGGATTTTTCCTATCCTGGAAACCAGTGAGATACAAAGTTCAGAAGCACAGCCTGCCCGGCCACCTCAATGGTTTTTCTTTCCAAACTTCTCTTGAACACACAGTTTATGTGAGCTGTGCAGTGTTTAAACCATCCGCAGCTGAAGCCTTGGTACAACTCTGTAGTGTTTCAGTAACTTACGTGTGTGAGTGGATGTGTTCCCAGACAGCTCCAAGCTGTCTCTCAGCCATGGAAATTCACAGCCTTATGCCCTACCTATTGCTCAAGGCTAGGATTTGTGCTGAATCTAGCCCGAGCTTTCTGGAGTGTATGGTTGAAATCACCTCTGAGAATGCAAAACAGCCCCTCATACTGCTGAACTTATTTTGTATTTTAATAAAAACCCACAAAGATCATGCAATTTCTCCTACGGGTTCTTGAGCTATAAAATACAGCAGAATTTATACCAAATCCTGACCAGGCAATGAAGACCTTGGGGTAGGCCCATGGGTGGCAGCGGATCCACCCATGTGCCTTGGCCCTGACAGTGACACACTGCATGACCGTACTTTGGCAAATCTCTTTCTGCCCAGTGTCTCGGTTTGACCCTAATCTCAGACTGGTTTTTCATGATGTCAGAACAGGTTTTTTTCCTCACTGTGTGTTTGAGCAGTGCTGGGTGCAGACAGGCTGGGGCCTCAGGTGGTACTGCCTTGAGTACTATGACATTGCTGGGATTTCCTGTGCTGATCATACCCAGCGAGAGTGTAAATGCTTCCATTGGACTCACAAAGGCACTGAGAGTCATCCCATAGCATTTTAACCTGGGTGTAAGACAAGAGGGCAGACTGGTCCCTCAGGAAGTCATAGATATCCCATTTTATATCCAAGAAGCTACACCTGTCATCAGTGTGACCCTGATGGCTTCACTAGCACTGTGACACAGGTGGTTTTGGGGCCAGAGCCAGCCTTACAGAGGGGTGTGAAGGTTGAAAAACTACCCTGGGCAGATCTGAAGCAGCTGGGGCACACTGAGGTGCCCCTGTTACTCTCCCAACTCCCCGCCCCGTGTCGCTGTTACCTGTGCTCGATGCTCTCCAACCGCAAACTGTATCACAGCAATGCCTGGGTTATGGCTCTCTTCAATCCTCTCCACAGTGCTGGAGTCTATTTTCAGGTCATTGCTAATTTCCGCGCTCTGTATGAAGTCTTCTGTTTTTAAGTCCTCTACTTTCTTCAGCTCCCCGTTGGCCAGCTGGATGATTGACCCCTTCATGAAGTAAGGGGGCAGCGTGGGGGGGGGCCGCAGCGGGGGACGCGATGGACTGCACCACAGGGAGGTGGATCTGCGCCTGCACCATGGTGGCCTGGTAGGCGGGCTGGGTGGTGTGGGGCTCGGCGCTGAAAGCCTCGCTCTTGGGGACAGCGGTGGTGACAAAAGTGTGAGGCACTGCTGCGAACTGGGGAGACGAGGTGACAATGGCCGGCGCGACGCCCGACGGCTCGACGTCGGCGCTGCCGACCGGTATGAGCAGGGGCTGCGTGCCAGGGATCACCAGGTGCTGGGGCAGCCCCCCAGGGTACCCCAGCGCTTGCTGCTGGCTGCTCAGGTAGCCGATCACCGGCGGCTGGGTCCCGGCGTAGAAGGCTGTGGCCGGCAGCCCCACCGGGAGCTGCTCAGAGGCGCTGTGGGTCGTCTGGATGACGGTGTGGGGGGACAGCGTGGCCACGGCCTTCACCCCCTCGTGGCCCAGGGCCTGCTGCGGGGACAAAGCATAAGAGCGGTGGGTTGGCTTTCCTAAGTGCAAGCTTCCCTTGTCGTTGAGGGCTGAGGGAGAGTTCTCTCGGTTGGTGGCCTGCTGCACCTCCAAGTCCGCGGTTGGTGTGCTGCTGTTGGGGACCACCATGACGGAGGCTCGGACCCCTGAGGACTCCCGGGCACCGTAGTCGGCAGGACCCGAGTGCACCACCACGTGCCTGGTCTCGTAATGGTGGGGAGCTGGTTTATTGCCTGCTTTGACCAGACCCATGTCGGCAGAGGGCGAAATGCCGTACCTCCGGCTCTTCTCTATCTCGCCGTTCAGCACCTCCTTGGCCTGCATGGCCTGCAGCCGGCCGCTCTCGGGCTTCTTGGGGGCATCCCTTGTGACAAAGTGCGAGGCATCACTGTACTGCACCACAACCTGGGAGGAGGGGCCAAGGGTGAGTGTGTGGGGGATCACCGTCTGGTGGGGATGCAGGGGGACCGGGATGGTTGGAGGAGAGACGTTTCTGACCGCGCTCTGGGGAGAGCTGGAGATGTGGACGTACTGGTTCTGCTGGGCAGGTGGAGGAGACCCTGCAGCGATCAGTCCAGGCGTTCTAACCAGGTGCGGCTCGACTTTGTGCCCCTGCTGGCTTAAGCCGCTCATGCTGGCCAGCAACGTGGAATAAGCCTCCAGCTGGGAGCGCTGGGATGGAGTGGTCGCAACAGCTGAGGCCGCCGCCACGGCGCCGGTTGCCGAATTGGCGGTTGGAGAGATCAGCTGCGAGGGGATGAACCCTGCATATGGTCCGCTGTACTGGGGCCCGACAAACTGGAACGTGTGCTGCAGGTGCGTGTACTGCACAGGGGAGACGGGGGTCCCGGACTGGGAGAGTGCGGACGAGTACACGGTGGGGAGCGTGGTGGGGGCCGGCACCGACCTGGGCGCGCTCGGTGGGGAATAGTCCAGCCCCGCCGGCGGCGGCTTGTGCAGGCCCTGCTGCAAGCCCACCTCCGCCGACGTTCCCCCGGGCCTGTGCCTGCCCCCGAGGCTGCTCTGACTGCCGGGGAGCCATGCTAGGTTGTCCGTGCGGTGGTTGTCATTCGGCAGGACCGGCTTCACCTCCGAAGGCAGGCTGGTGGCGGGGATCTCTCGCTTCTTGGGCGGCAGGCATTCATTGCTCCGCTCTTGGTTGGATTTCATCTTTCGCCGTCCCCCCTCCACTGTGCTTGCTTCACTGTCTGGCTGGCTCTGATTTCAGTCTGATAAATGGAAAGTCACATTTGATTTCTGCAAGGGATCCAGTGACTTCATGAGGAATCATCTCCCCGTGAGCACGATTCTCCAACGGCTCCTCTGGATTCTGCAACGAAAGGGTGGGTGAGGGAGGGCGAAATCACAATGTCAGCACTGGGGAATGGGGACAAAAAACCTGACATCTCAAACCAGCACTTAAGAAAAAAGGTGGAATGCCAACTCAGCTGGTCACTGTTGCTCTCATCCCAAGGAGCAGTGGACAGCTGTGCTGTAAAACAGCAGCTAAGATTCTGTGCACATCTGTTAGCACATTCTGAAAACAATTAGAACTTCAGGCAGGTCGGAAACTCTCTGACACCATAAGGTGTCAGATTTATCTCCCTGTGACTCAGAGGCTCACTTCCTTCCCACTGCACCTTCAAGGTTCACCCTTCCATTCTTTCCTTTCACTGCAACAACAGCATTGCATTCACACTACCATGTCCTAAAACGCCTGGGAACCTTTGGTGACCTCCTGCACAATATTTGCATAGCAGCTGGCAGCTGTGCATGGAGTGGAGGAAGGTGGCTACTGCAGAGTCCTCAAATGCAGCACTGCTGCTGGACCAAGGAGGCTGTGGGCAGCCCAAAGACGCTCCAGGAAGGAGAAGGTAAAGCTGAGCAAACTCCATCCCCTGAGGTGTTTGAGGCCCTGGGCAGCCTGATCTGATGGGTGGCAACCCTCCCCATGATAAAGGTTTGGAACTAGATGATCTTTAAGGTCCCTTCCAACCCAAGCCATTCTGTGATTCTACGACTCTACAAACTTGGCCCCAGAGATGCCTCATTTGGGAAAGCGCATCCATGTCTTCGTGACCCCAACTGAGAGCCCCCACAGTGGTAAAAGCTCAGGATATTGTAGAGGTTGGAGCAAAACCACCTATCTGCTCTGCATCACATTCACCCACCCCAAGTCAAGAAGGGCAAAGTCAGGTCCTTACTCCATATTATAGGGAAAACATCACAACTGAATCATGTCACACTTTGAAAGAAAACCTGACAGCCCTCCCCTACCTGCCTAACAGCAGCAATAGACTTTAGGGAAAGGGACAGTTCTCAGACACTGTCCCTGGCTTTCTAGATGTGCTTCTGGCTGCCCGGAAGGAGCTGCGAGCACGGGTGCTTATACTTGACAGGCATTCTTGCAAGAAAAGTGTGCATTATGTGAAAGAAAAAGGGAGAAAGAAGATGGAAATCGGATATGAGCCACTTAAAGCCGAGCAACAGAAATGATAACTATCTCATGGCAAATAATATTCCCTTGGGAGATTTCCATTCCTATTGCCTCACTCCTAATGAACAACAAGCCTGATGTCTGTAAGTGCACACAGTGCTTTGAAGACATACCAGGTTAAGGTGAAACCTATCTTTAAGAGCATTCTTTACAACTGTGGTTCTCCAACCTGCCATAATTCATCAGAAGCCCAAAGCATCCAATGGTTTGATACAATTTGTCTCAAGTTATTTTTTCCATATGTTAAAAACAGAGCTAACAGCAATAGCCACAGAGACCCTACCAAAACAGCCTGTGGTTTTGCCTTCACCCACTCCACAGGTGCCACAGATCAGCGCTGGATTGAACCTCGAGTTGAGAAACCAGAGAAACATGAGCTGTAGGTTTGGGACCAGGCTGCCGAAAGGACCTACATTCTGGGGCAGATTCTCAGCATTCGGACAGAGGGAGGACAGAAGGAAGTTCACCTGAACTTGGGGCAGCCTGCTGAGAGAAAGAGCCAGTGATACCAAGAGCACGGCCGCTCAGCTCTGGTCCGCTTTGACCCCTCGGGCATGGGCAGCCGGGAGCAGGCCCTGCCACCGGCACAGGCCTTCCCTTCCTCCTCGCAATTGCTCTCTGCGTCTTGGCAACAGCTGCAATTATTATCTTACACATGACTTACGGATTTTTATTTTTATGTCCGACTAAAAATAAAATCGCCGAGCTCACATTTGCGCAGTCATCCTTAGTTAAGTTTAGCTCACTGTAGCCTCCCGCCCGGGGCGGTCAGGCTGGCGGATCAGTCAGCAGTTCAGGGCTGGGCAGCTGAAAGGGAGCCTGAGCGTGGGGCTGAGCACGGCCAGCTCCTTTGGCGGTGGTGGATGAGCCAGCCAGCCCCACACCAGTCATTCCAATGGGTGGAGGCACACGGATTCCAATTTTTCCACATCAAAACTGCTAGTACAGAGCTGCGTGACACCTGGGGAAGCTTCGCTTTGTGGGAGCCGAAGCAAAGGTTTTTTTCTGATGAATAGGATGGAACCGACGAGTTCTGGGTAGTCCCCAAAGCCAATGCTGACGTTCTTCAAGAATACTATGAGCTAATTCTTCCTTTTTTTTCTTTTGCGAGTCTTTCATATGGCTCTTTTCATCATCACGGGTGACAAAAGGGCTACCCCACATCTCCCACAGAGCACAGGAGGAATGAGCAAGCCTAATGGAGGCAGAGGTGGAGGCAGCTGTGAAGGCTGCCCCACTTTTCCAAGCCCCACTACCTCATGGTTCCACTTTGAACTCCAACAGACACAGGATGGGATGTGCAGAAATGTAAATGTGCAGCAGAAAGCAGCCTATCTCTGCTCCAAGACTTAAAAGTGAAGTGGTAAGTTTTCAGCATAATTCCAGTTCCAGCAGCAGCAGCAAAGATAACACAGGCCTGACTGTGCTCTGCAAGCAAGATTAAAGCGCCTCCAAGGCAAGAGGTACAGGGCATGGTTAAATGCTTCCTAGCTGGCTGCCCCAGAAAAATGAACACTGCCCTCTGAGGTATGACACCCAGTTTATTATTTGTGTGCTTTTTTGGGGGATCCGAGTTGTTTTTCTGACTCTGGACATTTCCCTTCTCTCTAATTTCAGAACTGTCGATCATGGACTTGCAAGATATGCAGAACAGCAGCTAGCACCAGGAGATTTTTTGCTTCCGCTTTGTGTATGTGCTGCACAAGAGTGTGCGTGCATGTGTGTGCAATTATGGCTTGGAAGGTAAAGAGGACAAAGAGATCAGGGACAGCAGCTGGACTTCGGTATCTCTGGCAGCTCGTACACAGGGAGCATTGCTAAAGTGTCTGCATAGTCCTTGTCCGCTGGCAGCCTGCCCACACAAATTCCTGGAAAGGCTTAAGGCAGAAAAATAATCACTCGGAGGAGTCACCATCTGGGTGTACTCTGGTCCCGGAGGCATTGCTCGCTGGAGCTCAGGATGTGCATTTCTCGTGCACAGCTCCAGCGTGCCTCCGCAACGCACTTCAAACCTCACTACGCCTCCCAGAACGCTATTTTTCGATTTATTTCATCTAACGAATCTAAAACCCACGAGAGGATACTGGATTAGATCCTGAAGGGCTGGCCACCTTTATCACCTTTATCCAACACAGCACTGGGTCTCCCCTCTGTCAGGCAACACCACCCTGCCTGGCAAGGCTCCAGCAACGAAATGCTCACAGCGTACACCCAAACACCATTCCCCTGAATGACACCCGGCACATGGCTCTGTGCCTGCTGTGTTTCTGCAGGGGATGACAGTGCGGGCTCACACTCCTGCCCCATGCCTCCTGCTCGCCCCACTCCAACATGACGACTCGGCAACATCAGCATCACCAACTGTCAGAGGAAAGGAAAGGCGCTCAGTCCTCCATCCTCTCCTCTGCACACTGAGGAGCTGGGCACCTCCAGGACTGGCAGAGGCTACAAGGCAAGGGATGCAGAGCGCTCTGCAGCTGCACATTTCTGGCAGTAGCCTCTCAGGATTGCATTAGCCCTGCCATGCGCATCTCAGTCAACAACAGCTACAGAAGTTCCTTATCTGACCCCACCGATTTCATGGCTCTCTGGCAGATTTCCCAGAAGGGCCAACTGGAGAGAGCCATTAATAAGGAACATGAAAACCTCTAACAAAATTTGAAATTCCCCTCCCCAAACCAAAGGATTCCTTATCAACACCACATCTACAACACAGACTGTCCTCCGCAGTGCTACCTCTTATTATGCTTCTGGGAATTCACCCCAGCAAATTGCTACAGGTTTCTGCAGAGCGAGCAGCTATTTTGTGCATTCTTCTTCTCCTCAGTCGGATCAGAGAACCTCTGGACAATACAAAGAGTGACTGACAGTGACCTCAATGACCCAATCACCGGGCTCCTACACCCAGCTCCGTGACAGCTTCTACACAATGCAGCACGATGCAGCAGGTGGCCTGAGCTGCCCTAGCCACCAACTGCAGCATCCCTTACTCCACGTTTCTTCCAAAGGAGTCCCTATCAGAGGCAAGCCCTCATACTCCAGCATGTGCTGCAGATGCCAGCACCTTGGTGCTAAGCATGAGCAAATGGGCAGGCTGGTACTGGAAGTGAGGCCATGTTTGCTCCTCATGCCATGACCCGGCCCATGGCAGGGCTGCCATTGGAGAGCACAGAAATCCCCTGCCTTTGGAGCCCAACCCTGGCACTTATAAACCATGAGTCAGAGCCCCTTCATGCTCCTGAAACTTGTGGTACAGAAAGAGGTACTCAGAAGATTTCTTAACGTGATAAAGATAGAGGGATTTTTGCCCTTTTCATGACAATTTTAGCTTGCCCTTCTGTTGGGAGAGGCCCTTCAGTCTCGAGGCCTCTAGCTTCTCACTGCAACCCACAAGACCAGAAACGTATTATTTTAGATAAAAGTGGAATTTCCCATTTTGTTATCTGACATCAGGAACTGGAGTTTTGCAAGGCAGTGTGAGGTATCTCGGGGCCAGTGACAAATCTGCAAGAGCTGACAATGCTGATTACAGAGCAGTTTCTTTGAGGGTGAAGCACCAGGCTCCAGAGCTCTCTGCTGCTGGGGAGGGAGGAAGAGAAAGATGTAACCTGGGCAGGAGGGCAGAGCCAAGCGTGTAAGTGTGTACAACTTCACAGCCGGCCCTCTTGGAGCTGTATAGCAGAAGTGCACATCGGTTAGCCAAGGAAAAGCACGTCTCTGTGGCTACAAGGGGAAGACTTGAGTTTGTAGTTGGGCTGCTTATGTCCTGGGTTTCAATTTGGGCAGAACACAAAAAATGGTCTGACATAACATGGGCACGTGCTTCAGCAGTG